GTCTGTTCTTAGACAGTACAGAGGTATCTCTGATAAGTTACTTTCCTCCGTCTGGGGATGGACCTGGCCAGATGATGCTAATGACGATAATTACAGGGAGGCTTGAACTGGGGTTCTGGCTGAGCATAGCTGTCAGCACACAAGGTTATCTAAATATTCCTAGAAGTGGTTAGGTAAGGAGTTAGAGGTCTATAAAGCTAGTAAGGCTGTAAGAAAAGGAGAGTCTGAGCTAAATTGTGCAAAGCTATTACTTAAGGTCCACCTGACCTAGGCGGTGTCTCCTTGTGGAATTTACCTTAAATCAGGAGACTAGCATGTGGTGGTCTGGACTGTTATTTCTGTTAGTCCTTGAATGTGACTAAGGGAGTTATCTGATTCCAGCTGTAAAAGGAGAAGAAATGGATGGGCCTGAGGGAAGGAAGTCTTTCCTGAGGTTGTTCTCCAAATACCTCAAATGTATATGTCCAAATAGTGGTCAGTCCACACTGTTAGCAATTCTTAGGAAAAAATCAATTGGGAAAGCTATGAAGGCACACATGATTTTCATAACAGAAGACAGCTGATAAATAACAAGCCAAATAATACCAAATGCTCCTTGGAATTTGGCTTCCTCTGAAGGAATTCCTTGATCCCTTCAGGTGGTGAGTGGCTTTGCCATCACCAGTTGAGTTCTTATATTCCTGTGACCTGTAGCAAGGAATATACACATCTCCCTAACCTACTGCTGTAGCTAGAGTTTTCCTGCCTGGCCCACGGTCAGGACAAATCTCTCTCACCTGCCAGTCCCACAGCCGCTCAGACCCGACCAAGTAAACACAGAGACTTATATTGGTTACAAACTGTATGGCCGTGGCAGGCTTCTCGCTAACTGTTCTTACAGCTTAAATTAATCCATTTCCATTAATCTATACCTTGCCACATGGCTCGTGGCTTACCGGCATCTTCACATGCTGTTTGTCATCGTGGCGGCTGGCAGTGTCTCTCTGACTCAGCCTTCCACTTCCCAGCTTTATTCTCCTCCTTGTCCCACCTATACTTCCTGCCTGGCCACTGGCCAATCAGTGATTTATTTATTGACCAATCAGCAACACACTTGACATACAGACCATCCCATAGCATACTGCTATGTTAATTGGAGGATTGGGGGTATAAGCCCATAATTGGGATCCATCGCTTTTACCTGCACCATTACCATGGAAAGCATGGCAAGAAATAAGTTTGTAGCATTCAGAGGCTTGTGAATCATGCAAAGTATCATCTCTCCTTTGTCACACAAACTCTGAGGCTGTCCCCGCGGGGGGGGGGGGGGGGGGGGGGAGGATTAGTTGTTTGTTGCAAAGGTCTCCTGTGTCTCCACTTCAGCAACTCAGCATCTTGGAGATGTCTTTTGCTCATGGCAGATTTTTATCAATTTCGATGGAATCCACAATTTATTATCTCCTGTGGAAACATAAGCATAACCTCTGCCCTAACTTAACATTTTCCCTGGACTATTTTGGTGTTAAAATATTTATAATACATGGGCTGACTCGATTCAGCAATTCTTTCCATAACTCAATGTTGTTCCTGTTTCATTAGCATTTAAAAACTTTTTAAAATAGTAGGGCATTATGCAGTCTATCTCTGGGGTCCTCATATCCCCCTTCTGTTTAACAAGCATCTTTTTTTGGGTGAGGTTAGATCTCTCAACAATTGCCTAATTTCAGAATTGGTATGGGGTACCATAATCTCAGCTGGATCCATACCTGACAATTGATGAAGTCTTAATCTTTCCTTTATGATTACTTTAGAAACTTTTTATATAGGTTTTTAATTTTTTTACTGTTTGTGAGCTAAGAAAATCCATATGAAAATATAATCCTCTCTCTGCATAATGAGTCCAGGAGGGGACTGATTTGAAGGGAAAATTACTAAAATACACCTCTTTGTAAGGTCTAATCTATCCATATAGGCAGTTAGTAATTTTTGTTCTACCAGAGCTAATTTGTTTTCAACCTCAGCTGCTGTCTTAGACTGTTTAAATCTGAGCCACACTGCAAAATTTGAAACAAATTAGTTAATTATTGAGTAGGCTATTTGTAGGCCGCAACCAGTTAATATTACCCAATAATTTTTGAAAATCATTAAGAGTATGCAGTCAATCTTTCCTAATCTGTACTTTCCATAGCTGAATTCTCAGTTTATTTAATTTATAGCCTAAATAGCTAAGAGAATCTCTTTTTTGTATTTTTTAGGAGAAATTTGTAATCTGCAACAGGGTAAAATTTTTTTGTACTATGTTAAACATTTTTTAAGGTATCTGTATCAGAGACAGCCAATAAAATATCATCCATATAGTGATAAATAATAGACTAAGGAAATTGTTTACAAGTCATTTCCAGTGGTTGATTTACGAAATATTGATATAAAGTTAGGCTATGGACAGTGGCCCCTACTCTAAATTTGGATAGCCAAATCCTGTCCTATCTTGTCTTTGTACAACCTGAATAGCCTGTGACTTTTCCTTATAATTTTTTCCGAGGCCTCTTTCAGGAATATATCCCAATTTAAATATCAATTTATAAGTTGTTTTTGAAATTGTAGGAATATCAATTTGAGATCCCATTGTTGTAACAAATCTCTTCCTCATAAATTTATGGCTGTATCAGTCATATACATTTAATCCATTCTACATTCTGCTTTACTTGAGATAATGTTCAAATGTCTATAAATTGAGTGGAGACTTCTTGTAAAGGCCAGTTGGGATTCCAGGATTCTTGTGAAATTATAGATACATCTAGCACCAGAATACAATAATCCTTCAATCTCAACCCCATGTAATCTTACTTTTAATTTAGGCTGTTTATCATTGATAACTGTTTTCCAAAACACCTTTTCTCCTGAACTTCCAAAGCCTCCAGTTCTACATATAGGCACCACTTTGCGTTTAAGATATGGAAGTAAGAATAACTGAACAATTTTATCACCAGCTTCTATTTCCATGGTCCTTTTTATATATATCATCTATAAAAACATTAAATACAATCTCTATAGGATTTTAAGAGGTAACTTTAGGCAATACTCTGGAGTACTTTTATAAAATCTTAAAAAGAGGATCCTTTTTTATAGATTGTAAGTAACACGTTAATGCAACTTGTCAATTATTAACAATGTGGATCAAACAATTTATCTGTATTTTATTTACTGGAAAAAAAATTTTGTAACCTCTTTATCAGTAAGAGATTATTTTCTGTGAGTTTTTATCCTAACAACCACATTATTTAATAAGCTAACAACCCAATCTGTTTCAGGTGTTATATTTCTATAGAGTTTAACCAAGAATTTCTAGAAAGCAACTTAAAGAGCAGAGCCAAATTCTCAGGAATGATCAACAGACAAGAGAATATCCAATATATAGTTGAAAATTACGAATCCTGTTCCTTTAGTTTATCTACCGTGAAAATCAAACATTCATCCAAATATTATTAGACAATCTAAAGAAGAGAACATCCTCTATACACTGAATGATTAATATCTCTGGAAATTCAAACAGCATCGACTTAGCATTCCATGTCCTGACTGCAACAGTTCTTCACCAGAAGTTGGGCCATTTAAACTTCCTCTTTCTCCCATGAAAGGACTATTAATAATGAGTTATTCCCATCATTAGTGAAAAACAGAAAACATTTCCAACGAAGGGATTTTCAATGTTGAGTTATTCCTGCTCTGGGGGAAAAATAAACATTTAAAAACCAAAGTTAAGCAAACAGATGACATAATTCTAAGCTCTGTGTTTGCTGTTCAGCCAGCAGCAGTGAGGCCCACCTGTTGATTCTTTGTAATTTCAGATGCTCGCAGGCAGAAAGAGCTCAGAGTTTTAACTATCCTGAAATTTTTTATAATCGGAAAGAACTTTTTCTTCTTCTATTACTACTGAGAAGAGGCTTTTTTTTTTTAATTTTTATTTTACGGGGCCTTATACTCTTTAGGCCTAGTTTTAATATTTTTCTCCTTTTTACTGGGAAAATCCTTTTTTCTTGATTAAACATTTTCCCCTTTTCCATTGAGAAATTTCCTTTTATTTCCTTTCCTTCCTTCCTTCTCTATTGGGAAGATTTCCTTTTTTATTTTCTTTCTTTCCCTTTTCTCTATTGAGAAAGGTCTTTTTCCTTTATTTATTTCCTGTCTCAGGAGCCACTGTATTTCTATCTTTAAAGATTGTGCAGTTACCGCTTTTTATTTGATAAGCATTTAGCAACTGTACATTTTGTTGCTCCTGAGATGGAGAGTTTAAATTCCCCATGACCCTGCCAATCCTGGAGTCCTCTTACCCTAAGAGTGCTCTCTCCAGTTCTTAAGATGGCCAGCTCCTCTGTCCTTCAGATCCTCTGTCCTTCTTCAAGTCCCATGTTGGGCACCAAATGTAACTGAATGGTCTTGACACAGGTGTGTGGATTCACTCGGGTCCAATGAATGAAGACTCAGAGGCATCTTAAGAAAGAACCTAGCCTTTCATGGTTGCAGGGGGTCCAGCCTCAAAGGACTGAAGTACTTTCCCTTTGCCTAGGGCATTTGTATTTACTATTACAGTTTAGCCAGTTAATTTCCATACCTTCAAAGCACCCCAAAAGGAGCTTCCAGAGACCAAATGCCAAGTACAAATTACTTGATTTATCAGGTACCTCAGTTTTCTGGGTTTCCAGAATCAAGTTTTGCATAGGTCTTTGATCCTTGGGAGACCCTCTGATCCTTGACTCTCAGACCAGATTCATATAGGGCAATTAAGAGAAACAAAAAAAGGTATGGTTAAACAAAGGAAGGATTAGGGCTAGGTGCTACTTTCTGGAGCCAAGCCAGGAGCTCAGCAGGAATGCACTATAGGTTACTTTCACAGAATATATCCTACTCTTTCTCTGTAAAAATTAGTTTGCAAATAGTAATACAACCTGCTGACTCATTTAATTGAGAATTTTGTGAATTCAAATTTAAGCAACTAAGTTTTGACTGTTTCTCTTTTCCAGAAAAACAAAACTCTCAAATACTTGAGAATGACTGGAAATAAGATTGAAAATGCAGGCGGCATGCGTTTTGCTGCAATGCTGCAGATAAACTCATCCCTGGAGAAACTGGATCTGGGCGACTGTGACCTGGTGAGCTGGTTCTGAGAAAGTCACTGGTGCAGTGGGTCTTCTCCCAGGGAAACAGCAGGAGGAGCTAGAAGACCAGTTTCTTCTTGTTTGTTTCTGAGCAAAGGATTGCCATGCAGCCCCAGCCAGTTAACTCACAGCTCCCCCGCCTGTGTCTCCCAGGTGCTGGAACTGCACACATATGCTGCTACCCTGACAAGACATTAATGTTTACTCTACTCTCTCAGGAAGTGTGGTTTTCCATTCACGCAGTGATACAGACTGTTAATCAGATTATAGAGACTGTAGAAATGGCCCAGGAGTTAAAAGCATTTACTGCTCTTACAGAGGACTCTGGTTCTGTTCCCAGCACCCATGTGGCAGCTCACAACCATCTGTAACTCCAGTTCTAGGGGATCTGTTATCTCTTCTGGCCTCATTGACACTACATATGCATGGTGCACATACATATATGTAGGCAAGACACTTGTATATAAGGTAAAGTTTTAAAGTATCATAGTACAGCAAACACAATAATTGGACAATAACTAGCATAATAAAGATATTCTAAACTCTATGCATAACTCATCTTAACCTGTATGTGACTTACAGAAAACAATATGCTCATTTACATTCAACAAATACTACTTCATAAGTATTAACATAAATTTCTTCTGATAGAAGATATTTTGCAGTGAGTATGTTGTACTGTGAAAGTCGTGATGGTGCTAAACGTGGCTCTGGAAGCTTCATCCCCAGATAACAAGAGCTGCATTTTTGCATGTCTTCAAATTATAAATCGCACTTTTCTTGATCATGCTTTCAAGTCTTGAGACCTTTAAATCTGTTGCATAAACTCAGATTAATGCCAATTCAGTAGGACACAAAATCTGCAATGGTTTGGAAAGATGTTTTTAAAGGGCAAGATAGAGCTGGTACAATTCTAGGAATTAGTGAGTCAGTATTTGCTGCTCCTACACACCAGTCACATAAGACACTAAAAGGCTCCAACAGTGAATGAGATGCTCTCTGATCTCACGAGGCTTTGTAGTTTACTCGGAGGAAATGTCAATCAACAGAGAAAAGTACTTTCAAGAAAACTAACTACTCTGATGTTGGAGAGGAGGTAATTTTATTTGATAAGATGGATGCCTGAAACTTGAGAAGGTAATACTACGGAGTCAGGAAGCCTGGGGGTTACAGAATGAATTCAAGACCAGTTTAGACAACTTAGCAAGACCTTGTCTCAAAATAAAAGAAAAATTAAAAAGGGCTGAGTTTGAGTTCACGCCTAGTATGCATAAGAGCTTAGGCTCAATCCTCAGTACAGAAAAAAAATAAAACCCAAATGAACAGGATGGTATTAATTAAACAGTAAAACAGTACTAAACTTCTCCCAGGACAGGAACTATGGCAGGTCACAAGGGAGGTGAGTGTGTGAGCAGAATTAAGAGTGCCCTTAGGAACAGAAGTTCATGGACAGATCGTGGGGCAGAGAAGAGGAAGTTGATATAAATGCAAATCATGGAAAGGCTTAAAGTTGAGGGATATCTGATCAGTGCTTTGAAGGGTCACCAGTTTCTCTGTGGGAAGTGGAGGGCAGCAAGAAGCCAACAGGCCATTGGGATAGCTGCTGCAGCCATCCAGGTTTGAGACGAGGAGCTTGGGCAGGAGGAACCACCACAGAAACATTTGGAGATGAACTAATTTGAGACATCTTTTGGAGGCATGTGTTTAGACTTAATGACCAACTGGATGACAGGCAGCAAGAGAAAGCCATTTATCAGCTAACAGGCTGTGTGTGTGGTGGCGTCCTCACAAAGATGAGGGGGGACAGGCCTTCCAGTCGGAGTTGGAGACCTACAGGAGCTATAAAAATGTGTCTAACAACCTTCCTAGTTGCACTCACTTACTGCCAGTAAGAATATACAAGAATGACTGCACAAGTGTGTTTGTACAGGAGACTTAGCGGGGACCCACAGGGCTGTCTCCTCATTTGTGGAGAACCTAAATGACTGAGGAGCGAGCCCAGAGTCACACGTAGGAAACAGGCACTGAAACATTGGGAAACCCCCTATGCATGCTGCAGACTTTAAGGCATGGTGGAGGAATATGGTAACAATTCACTTCTGAGAAGAGATGTTTTACCTTTTGTACAATTTTATCAGAACTCAGATAATTATCTTGAAATTGTTATGCAGGGAGAGTAATACACTGTTAACTTCCTTAATGGATTTTACCTGTTTGTAGGGACTGCAAAGTGTGATAGCATTTTCTACAGTACTGACTCAAAACCAAGCAATCAAGGGGATAAACCTGAACCGACCTATACTGTATGGAGAACAGGTCAGTATTCAAGTGATGACAGTGTCCACAGGACTAAGACTAGGGTCCAACTGGGGTTTATGGTACATGAATACATTGCATTCTTGAACAGTCCTGTTATATATAACTGCAGCTTGTGAAGGTATTAAAGGAGAATTATGTCACTTCTTGGTGACTCACATGCATTTAGCTGCTGTTACTTAAGCAGCAAGCTTATGAAACTCAAGTTCTGTGTAAGACAGAAAGAAGATATGTATGCTTAAAGTTTCATAAGCCACGTTGTACGCCCAGTGTCGGCTGTTTTATCGTTTGTTATATTGGTATGGCTGGACCATTACATCTTGGAACACAACACAAGTGCATGCATGAAGTTTGGTGAGTCTGAACTTGATCCCTTCTATAGACTAAGGTTCTTGTTGGAGGGAGATGAAAATGTGGCTTCTTGTTTCCACAGCCTTTTGGGTGGGATTCTTCTTAAGGAAATAAATTTGGACGGGCAAGATGGCTCAGGGGTTAAAAAGCTTCTGCTGCCAAACCTGATGAGCTGAGTTCAATTTCAAGGACTACATGGTGGAAGAACAGGACTGATTTCTGCCGCTGACCTCTGACCTCTGACCTCCACATGTGTACTGTGACATGTGCATGCACACTCACCCCTTCCGGTGAAATGTAAAAACAAAAACAAAAGCAAAAACAAACTCATAAATAAGAACTCATTCAGTGACAGGAGAAAAGAAGGCCCAGCACATTTTATCTAGTTCAAATAATGAACTTAGAGGTTCACTGTTGACATAAACCTCAAACTTTCAGATATTGTCCATAATTTAAAATTATCTGGCTCATTGTTCCTCCTTCCTATCACTGAGAAGTAAGCATATTTTAAAGTGCTACTTTTCATAGTTGGCCTCTGCAAGCACCAGACACACTCATGGTGCACAGACACACATGCAGCAAACAAAACACGTATACATATAAAATAAGTCTAAACAATTTTTTTAAGATGAGTAAAATACTACGATTTGTTCACAAAGCATATTACAGGGACTTCTTAACAAAACTGCTTTGGCCCACTTATGCTTGATTATGGATAAAAACTCAAGACTACCTTTGAGGAAGAAAATATACGTGCACACACGTATCTTTCACCTAGGAACAGCTAGACTGTAAACTTTAAAAATGAACAAACATATTCCAGAACTTGAAACCACTACAAAAGGCAGGCAGGCAAAGCAGAGCTGAGGGTCTCAAAACACTGAGAACTGTCCTTGTATCTTAAGCCATCAAGATGACCGGTGACACACTGAGGGAATGGGGAAGTCTACACACTAAGATATAAAAAACTGCTTTGCTAGTTTTCCTCTTAAAATAACTATTACTGTTACTGTAAACCCAATTATCCATCCTCTTTGTAAGTCACTGAGTTACTGCATTTTTTTTTTTTTTTTACAAGTTCCTGCTACCTATTTCTAAGAAGGTACACATTTCATTTGGAACTACACATAGTGGTACACATCACAACCCCAGTACCCTTGGGAGGCTGAGGTAGGATGTTGAGTTCCCAGGCTAGCCCAGGCTACGTGGTGAGACCTGGTCCACTCCCTTGTGCTCCCCTTACACACACACACACACACACACACACACACACACACACACACGAGATATGATTTGAGGCAGTAATGATAGTTTTATTTAAAAAAAAAGATATGCCAAGTGCAAATATGATACTCTTTTTTGTTGTATATGTGTATATGCATATATATATATATATATATATATGTATATATATATATGTGACTGTGTATGCCTATAAGGGTACATGCAGGTTCAGAGGAGGAAGCCAAAGGTCTTCTCAATTACTCTCGGCATTACTGCCTTCACCAGAGCCTCTCAATGAACATGAAGTTCACTGTCTGGATTAACTGGACATAAGAGCCCATGATCCGCCTGTCTTTAACAGCCAGCAATGAGGTTCCAAGAATATGCAGCCATGCCTGGCTTCTGTGAATAGTGGAAATAGAACTCAGGTCCTCATTACCCAGGGAGTTGTATCTTTAACCCTAAACTAAGAGTCTTAATAAAATTGTTTTATTTATTTTGAGACAGGGTTTCTCCATGTAGCCCTGGCTATTCTAGAACTCACTCTGAGACCAGGCTGGCCTTGAACTCACAGAGATCCACCTGCCTTTGCCTCCCACGTACTGGAACTAAAGGTGTGCGCCACCACCACCCAGACTTCTTGTTTTTTGTTTGTGTTTTGTTGTTGGTTTTGTTTTGGTGTTTGGTTTTTGGAGACAGGGTTTCTCTGTATAGCCATGGCTGTCCTAGAACTCACTGTGTAGACCAGTCTAGCCTCAAACTCACAGAGATCTGCTTACCTCTGCCTCCTATGTGCTGGGATTAAAGGTGTGCGGCACCACCACCCGGCCTTGTTTTGTTTTTAATGCAGTATTTTTAACAAGCTAATTTAAGGTCAGATGTAGTGGCACACACCTGTAACACCAGTCCTCAGGAGGTTGGGCAACAGAGACAAGGTTGAGATCAGTCCGAGTTACATAACGAGACCCTGTACCAAGAAACAAAACAAAAATCCACCTAACTTTAAGAAAATATATGCTCTTGAAATGTACAAGTAATACTTCAAACTCAGAAAAGACGTTACCTATTTTTAGGAAGAGTCTACAGTTCACATGGGCCACATGTTGAAAGAAAATCACTCCCTTGTTGAACTGCATATGTGTAAACATGGCATAAAAAATTTTGGTATGCAACAGCTGTGCAACGCGCTGTTTCTGAACAGCAGCCTACGCTACCTTGATGTCAGCTGGTAAGTGGTAATTTACATGATAATGCAAAGATTAAGTCTTGAGGTTAGTCTACACAAATGTTCAGAGTATGTAAGATATGTGTTAGACATTATTTTCAGTGACTAGAAATTCTAACTGTTGTTGAACTTTTATCATAAGCTGTAGGCTTTATTAGGTTAGCTTATACAGTAATATATCTGTAACAACTTGATTGCTAGACATATGGAAGCATTATTTCTTGGAGTTTTTTCAATGTTGTGATAGTTATTTTATGATTTATTTATCATATATACAGCATTCTGTCTGCATGCATGACTGCCTGCCAAAAAAGGGCACCAGATCTCATTACAGATGGTTGTGAGCCACCATGTGGTTGCTGGGAATTGAACTCAGGACCTCTGGAAGAGCATCCAGCGTTCTTAACCTCTTAGCCATCTCTCCAGCCCCTCATGGAGAATTGTTATTCTTGGAAGTTGAGCAAACTAACTGGAAATAGAGAGTTTACTATATGGTTTCAAGTAGCTTATGAATACAAGAACAATACTTTGTGTTTTTAAAATGTTGCTAAATATGCTTTCTTCCACAGCAATAAAATAACTCGTGATGGAATGGTGTATTTGGCTGATGTACTGAAAAGCAATACTACCCTGGAAGTAATAGATCTTTCTTTTAACAGAATAGAAAACACAGGCGCAAAGTACCTCAGTGAAACTCTAACTTCCCACAACAGGAGTCTTAAAGCGTTAGTATGGTTTTTATATTTAATCAAAATAAGTAAAAAAATTCTAAGGAGTATCTTTAAAAAAATGGGTGGCTCTAATAGGATAATTGTGTATTCAAATTCATGAGAAAAAACCTTTATTTCTCTTTTTATTTATATATATATGTGTGTCCACTTGCTTGTTTATACATGCACCAAATGTGTACACAGAGGCCACAAGAGGGAATCAGATCCCTTGGAACTGGAGTTAGACATGGTTGTAAGATGCCTGTGGTAGGTGCTGAGAACAGAACCTGGGTCCTCCGCAAGAACTGCAATTACTCTTAGATGTTAAGCCATCTTTCCAGCCCCCAAAACTCTCATTTATCCTGAATGCTAACAGAAAATTCATAAGCATTTAACACAATACTTACGTTTGTAATCTACTCAAAACATTTACCAAATAGGGGCTGGAGAGAGGGCTCAGTGGTTAAGAGCACTGGCTACTCTTGCAGAGGTCCTGAGTTTCGTTCCCAGCACCCACATGGTGGCTCACAACCATCCACAATGGGATCAGATACCCTCTTCTGGTGTGCAGCCATACAAGCAGGCAAAGCACCCAAATACATAAATAAATCTTAGGAAAGGAAAGGAAAAAGGAAAGGAAAGAAAAGGAAAGGAAAAAGGAAAGGAAAGGAAAAAGGAAAGGAAAGGAAAGGAAAGGAAAAAGGAAAGGAAAGGAAAAAGGAAGGGAAAGGAAAGGAAAAAAGGAAAGGAAGGGAAGCAAGCAGGCTATTTTTAAAACATTGGAAACTTTCCTGGGTATATGACACATTCAATTAAAAAAAAAATAGGTTCCTTGGATTAAATGGACCTCTACAGCCAATATTTAGATCAGCACATTGAAACATGTTAATAAAATGGATTTAGTAAGTGTTGATGCTGACTTAAGATTCTTTGTGGGACTTCAGGATTCCATGATATTTCTTTTCTACAGATTGTCTGTAGTCAGCAACAAGATAGAAGGAGAAGGGCTTGTTGCTCTTTCACAGTCAATGAAAACAAACCTCATATTATCTAATATCTACATTTGGGGGAACAAATTTGATGATGCTACGTGTGTGGTAAGTGTTTTCAGACTTTTGTTGGGCTCTGCAATACTTGTAAGTTCCTTTCATAAATGGTTTCAAAGAATGGTGTCACACTATACTTTGGGTAATTTTTAACTTAAACCCTAAAAAGTAGCTGCTAGGAAAGATATCTGATGCTATATACAAGTATTAAGGATCACTAAGCCACACAATTTTCCAATTCCTCCAAATGAAAACAAAAATTACAATTGATTTGATGTAGCAAAGTTCCTCATGTGTCAAGAAGAGGAATCAGAGACACCTGTAAGAAGCTCTGTAGCACTTAGTGTTCACGCATGTAAACCCTGAGTCCTTCACACTACATACCTATGCTGAAGCATCCCTGCATCTCTGGGATGTAGCCTACTTGATCATGGTGGGTGAGCTTTGTGATGTGTTCTTGAATTTGGTTTTCAAGTATTTCATTGAGAATTTCTGCATCTGTGTTCATAAGGGAAACTGGTCTGTAATTCTCTTTGTTTGGTCTTTATGTGGTTTAGCTATCAGGGTAAAAAGAAATAGGTGATGGTCCTTCTGTTTAGTGGGATTGAGTATTGAATTAATCCTTCTTTGAAAGTCTGGTAGAATTCTGTGCTGAATCCATCTGGCCCTGGGCTGCTTTGTTGTTGCTGGAAGACTTTCTTTTAAAGACTGATTTCTTTAGGTATTTTATGTATATGGTTGTTTTGTCTGCATGTATGGACAGCAGAACAGGGTGCTGCCCTACTGTGGGACTGCAGTTACTGACGGCTGTGAGCACCATGTGGGTGCTGCGAACTGAACTCAGGACTTCTGGAAGAGCAGCCAGTGCTCTTAACTGCTGAGCCCTCTCTCCAGGTCCTACTTAGGAGACTTTTAATTACTGCTTCTATTTTACTAGGAGTCATAGGCCTGTTTAAATTGCTTATCTGATCTTGATTTAACTTTGGTAGATGGTATATATGAAGAAATTTATCCACTTCTCTTAAATTTTCCCATTTAGTGGAGTACAGACATTTAAAGTGTGTCCTTATGATTCTCTGGATTTCCTTGGTATCTGTTATGTCCCTCCTTTTATCTCTAATTTTATTAATTTGGATCTTCTCTCTCTACCTTTTAGATAAGGGTTTGTCAATCTTACTGATTTTCTTAAAAAACCAACTCTGTGTCTCATTGACTCTTTGTGGTGGTTTTTTGTTTGTTTGTTTCTATTTTATTGATTTCAATCACGAGTTTATTTCCTGCCACCTAGTCCTTTTGAATACTATTTTTTCCTTTTGTTCTAGAGCTTTCAGGTGTGCTGTTAAGTTACTAATGAGATCTCTCCAATTTTTTGATGTAGGCATTTAGTGCTATGAACTTGCCTCTTATAACCACCATCATTGTGTTCCATAGGTTTAGGTATGCTGTATTTTAATTTTCATTCAATTCTAAAAAGTTTTTAATTTCCTTCTTGATTTCTGTCGTGACCTACTTTTCACTCAGGAGCAAGTTGTTCAGTTTCCATGAACCTAGAAACTTTCTGTTGTTAATATAGCTTCTGTTGTGGTTAGATACGATACAGGATGTTATTTCAGGTTTTCTTGTATCTGTTGAGACTTGTGTTGTGCTTGAGTATGTGGTCAGTTTTGGAAAAAGTTCTATAAGCTGCTGAGAACCATACTACTTTAGAGACAGAAAGCATAGTGACAAAAAGCTTTCATTTGAAAAGAGAGGAGAAAAAAAGCGTAAGATTTGTAAAAAGGACGGGCCAAAAATAACAGGCCTAAAAGACTACCCATAGTTTTCAGAGAAACACTCATGTTCTTTAGGTTTCCACACAGCACAAGCTGAATACAGACTATGGAACCAAACATAATGAAAAGCTACAACAGAAAGCAAAACCAAAGTTGGAAATCTTTTCCTGTCAAAAGTTCTCCTCTGTTGTTCTACAATAGCAACTTCATTGACAAAACAGCTCACAAGTGTGTATGACACTCTTAACATACACACCAAGAAGCCACAGGGACACACAAAGAAAACTCTACAGCAAAAAAACAATTGATAGGTGATTAAGTGGTGATTTAACACTGTTGTTCTACAATAGCAACTTCATTGACAAAACAGCTCACAAGTGTGTATGACACTCTTAACATACACACCAAGAAGCCACAGGGATACACAAAGAAAACTCTACAGTAAAAAAACAATTGATAGGTGATTAAATGGTGATTTAACACTATGGAATTGTCTTTTTTAAAACTAAACTTCTGTATTGACTTGAGGGAACTTATTAACTGAACTCCATATGGAGCTGTTTATTTATTTGTTTATTCTGAGGTGTGAGGCCCTACTGATCATCAGATCTATTTGAGGGAGATAGGATTTTGCTATGCAGCTCAGCTGATCTTGAACTCAACCATCCTCCTGCCTCAGCTTCTGCAGTGCTGAAAATACAGGCATGTGCCAGCACACGGGACTCCCCACTCTGCCAACTACCACCTCTTAAGAGTACATGAAAACATCTGGCTATGGGTCACAAAATTGGTATTATAGGGAATTAACTCAGAGACTCACAAAAGGACTTATATATGAAAACATCCTTTATATGTTAAAACTTAGAAATCAATTTTATAAAATTACATTTCCATTATGTATAACTAAATAATAAAATTTACCTATACTATCTGGAATAATACTAAAATTAAGCAATGTTAATAAGAATATTTTATTTCAATCTACAAAACAACACAGCTAAGTTGATTATTTGTTTGCCCAACCACTGTAAATTAAATAAATTATATTCCTAATGAAAGTTTTCTAAAAATCCTAGGCATATTCAGATTTGATGAAGAGTGGCCGGCTAAAGCCAGATAACACAGATGTGGAACCATATGTGGTGGATGGACATGTCTACCTTGCAGAAGTCTCCAATGGCCTTAAAAGGCATTATTACTGGACGCCAACTTACGGAGAGGCTTATGACCACGCATCTACTGCAGGCTTTGCTCTTGTTCCAGTCGGCCAACATCTATAAGAAACAAGCTCCAATAGTTTTCACACATTTGTCTCATCATTTTTAGAGACTAATATTTTATAGTCTATTTTTTTCTTTATAAATTAGAACAAGTTTTTTTTAAAATCAAATTTGTTAAAACTTTGTGTACTTGCCCCTTGTTGAGAAAAAACTGATTCTTAATATAGACTACACTGTCAACCCTGAAGAAACCACTCTAATTCTTTTTATAATGAAAAACAAGTAACAAACACAAAAACCACAGACAGTGGAGTAATAAGCAAAGGTCACAACAGACATCTTAACCAAATGGTATAGTAGAAAGGATGCAGCTGGGAAATATCCCGAGGATTTCAGATTTCCAAGTTTAAAGTTCAAAAGTATTCCACATAAGACTTTTACGTATTGCAGACAGGTGTTAGTACCAATAGCACAAGAAAATAAAAAGTTTTCTTGCATAGACAGTGACTAGCCTGAGTTTATACACCCTTTCTGTGTCTGGCTCTTGTTCACTCAATATTAGTGCAATTCACCCATGTTATTCAGTGCAGTTGCAGTCCATTTCTTATTGCCTTGAAGTAGTAGTCCATCCTATGCTGAGGAAGAATCTATAGGAGTCTATAAAGAGATGGTCTTTCAGGATTAGATATTCAAGCATCCCTTAGCAATGCAGTTGGCTTTCTTGGGTCTCAGTCTACTCCTGTGTGCTACAGTGGGGCCCAAATGTTTACATATTCTTACAAGGGGGGGTGTAGCAGGTAAGATGGGAAGGGACAGCAAATAAGTCTGCCTGAGCTTGCAGTAGGAGGTACATGATCAACTTGCATTTGGACCTATTCTGGGCTAATAAAGATGGAGCCTTAATGAGCTGTCCACACATAACTGAGGTCAGGCCAGTTCAGTAGACAAGTACTGGTTCTAACAAGGAACCAGTTATTTTTTAGGGAAGGTTTGATGATGCAGTTTTACAGGTCATTGTTTACTGCCTCAGAGGCCAGCACAATGCTCAGACACATTTATTCTGATGCTATTATGTCATTTAGTTCCCTTTATACATCTGGATACCATCTGAGAGATAAGGTAGAAAGCATTCTTCCAAAAGATGAGCAGGCTAATGAGAGTAGGCTAAGAAGTTGTTTTCCACTAGACTTATCCTTACTTAGGCAAGGACTCGAGGAGACACACAAGTTCTGTAGGAGAACTCCACTTCCTCTGTACATCTTACACTGAATAAAATTACAACATATTATATGGCTTCTACTTCCCTTTTAGCAATTGTCTTTTAAGATACTGCTTTAAAAAGCTGATTATAGTCATGGATCATATTATACTAATAATGCTCTAACTCTGAAGGCAAAAAATTAAAGGGCACACTTTAAAAATAATCTGAAATTAAAGATAAAATAGAAATGACTGAGAAACAAATGTTCAACATCCTTAGTCATCAGAGAGATGCAAATTAAAACTACCTTGAGATTTTATCTTATACCAGTCAGAATAGGCAAGATTACTAAAACAAATGACAGTTCATGCTGCTGAGGATGTGGGATAGGGGGAGCACTTATTCATTGCTAGTGGGAGTACAAACTTGTACAGCTACTATGGAAATCAGTGTGGTGCTTCCTCAGGAAGCTGGAGATAGATCTACCTCAAGATCTGGTGGCAATACCACACTTGGGCACATACCCAAAGGACTCTAATCCTGCTACAGAGACATTGTTCAACCATGTTTGTTGCTGCTCTATTCATAATAGGCAGAAACTGAAAAAAGCCTAGATGTCCATCAATGGATGAACGGACAATTAAAACATGGTGTATTTATCCAACAGAATATTACTCAGCTGTTAAATAAAATTATAAAATTCTCAGGTAAATAGATGAAGCTAAGAAAAAAAAATCACCCTGAGTGAAATAACCTAGACTTCCAGAAAACAAATATGCTATGTTTTATCTTAAGTGTTATGATGGCTATTCTTGCTTGTCAACTTGACTACATCTGGAATTAACTAAACCTCAAGCAGCTAGGCACACCCATAAGGGATTTTTCTTGATTAGATCATTTGAAGTCAGAAGATCTACCTTAAATCTGGGCCACACCTTCTGGTGGCAGTTTATATAAAGGACATGGAAGAAGGACACTTTTACTTTTTGCCTGCTTGCACTCACTCTTGCTGGCAAGCTTATTCCTTCACTGGTATTAGAGAACATGTTTTCAGGATTCTGAGATATAGCCATTATTGAACTAGCCAGGTCACAGCCTGTAAGCCACTCAAATAAATCCCATATACATATTTTGATATGCATATCAAATCTCTCTCTCTATATATATGTATATATTCATTCTATCATTGTTCTAGAGAACTCTGACACAGAAGTGGACATTAGCTTTAAAGCCTTTGATATGTGTGCTGATCCATAGAACCAGAGGTTAGGTACAAAGTCAGGGACTAGTGGGGAGGAGGAAATCTCCCAAAGAAAGGAGAAATAGAATACATTGTTATGAAGAGATGGAGGTGGGGAGGACCTAGAGTGGGAGGACTAAATGGGAAGAGGTGAGGAAGAGAGGGGCTAAGGAGGGACAGCTAACACTAAGAACCCCACTACTGTAGAAGCTTCCTAAAATATATACATATATGAAAGAAATCTAAATGTATCCAAACGACAGGGGAGAGAATGCCTCAACTAGACATATTCCACTACCAGGTGAAACTTCCAGTGCCAGGAATGGGTTTCAGATAATTCAAATGTTGACCAAAGGACCCTATGGGAACCCCCAAACAACTCAAGCTATTGCCAAGACTATTGGCTGCTCTCTACAAACTGACGGTAAGACCCTATTGCTGAAGAGAACACTTACAAATGTGAGGGAACACAGAGAAGTCTAGCTGAAGGCTTTACTTATACTGATTAGCATTCACGGCACCAGAATGCACTACTTCAGGAGAAAGATGACCACCAACGCAGCTACCAACCCTTTGATCTACACTGGCAATTGCAAGGTGCGGCAGTTCAACAGCGGCACTAACATAGTGGGCAGTACCCAGCCAGCTCTGAGTGGATGAGGCCCACTGCACGAGATGGAATTCATGTCTGACAACACTCGAGTAGTCAAGAATTTGAGACTGGATAGGCCATGGGCCTCAGGGAAAAACAAATACTACTGTTCTGCTAAAGAGACACAGCAATACAATGACTCCTAATGGCATTCTGCTGTACCCACAGATCAGTGTAGCATTTATCACTCAGCCATCGCAGAAGCTTCTTGCAGTAGCTGGGAACTGACACAGAGAACCACACCTGGGCAACATAAACAGGGACTTTGGAGCATGCAGTCCTAAAACAGGATGTCTTCATCAAACCCTCCCCTCAAGGCTCAGGGAGCTATGCAGAAGAAGAGGTGAAAAGAGTCTAAGACCAGGATGGATGGATGACTGCAGGGAACAGTATCCTCCAGATATAACAGGACTGGTGTACATAAGAATTCAAAGACTGGGGGCTGGAGAGATGGCTCAGGGGTTAAGAGCACTGGCAGCTCTTCCCAAGGTCCTGAGTTCAATTCCCAGCAACCACATGGTGGCTCACAACCATCTGTAATGAGATCTGGTGACCTCTTCTGGTATGCAGGCAGAACACTGAATACACAATAAATAAATCTTAAGAGAATGGTTAAAAAAAAAAAAAGGATTCGAAGACTGTGGCAGCACACACAGGGCCTGCACAAGTTCAAGTCGAACAGGGTCCCAGTGCTGACAGAGGTTGTAGACATGGGCTCACAGTGCTAACTTAGAAGCTCTCTGCTACCAGCATCTACTTGCCAAAGAAATACTAATTTCCCCACGGAGTCCTGCTGGGTAGATTACCCACACTTCAGGACAGGCCCATGCCCACTACTAGATGGCCAACACAAAAGGAACTCCATGGGCCGGGCGGTGGTGGGGCACACCTGTAATCCCAGCACTCGGGAGGCAGAGGCAGGTGGATCTCTGTGAGTTTGAGGCCAGCCTGGGCTACAGAGTGAGTTCCAGGACAGTCAGGGCTACACAGAGAAACCCTGTCCTGAAAAAAAGAACTCAAGTACTTTTTTATAGACAATTTGTCTCAAATTGCTTTGTTTGGGTATTTTTTGTCTTATCTGGTCTTTTGCTGTATATTTTGGTTTCCATTTGTGTATATGTTTTTTCCTTTTGTTTGTTTGTTTTTTAAAGAGAGAGAGAAAGAAAGAAAGGGCCTGGAGTTAGGTACAGGTAGGGAGGTGTGGAGGATCTTGGAGGAGTGAGGGAGGGGAAAACCATGGCCTGAATACACAGTATGAAAACAGAAAAACCAAACCAAACCTGGTAATGCTGACCGTTGTGACCCCCGTACTCTCATTTTCACACTGTTCTGTGAAACTATTTCGCTGTGTCCTGTGTTGTTTCTCTGAGACGTGATCTCTTGTTAAAACACCAGGTTCTCGGGTGCACTTCACTTCCTTCACACTGGGACTTTCTTCACTCACTTCCAGGCCAATTCTGAAGGACCTTTTCATTTACATGTCTTACTTAACATTGCTGCGTTTCACGGCCCCAATTCTTAAGAATGTGACCAGCTGCCAGCCTAAGGACTGATTCTCCTTGGTAAGGCACTCGGTCACCTGAGGTCACTAGTATGGAATCATGCTACAAACCTAATCTCTGCTCTCCAGCAGTCAACTACCACAGGATGTGACATCATGGGTTATAAATGTGGCTAGCTAAGTCACCCTGTCCAAGAACTACTTCAAGTAAGTCAGTGTGGCCGCTGGGCTGGACATAGCTGACCGTTACCTCCTTCTCATTTGATACTTTCTGCATTCTGTCTTGCTCCTCTTCAATCAGCCACTTGTAACCGTCAGTCACTTCACTTGTCTGTCTAGGTGAAAATGGCCCTTCCTCTCCCTATCCCACTATACTCTTGACTGCCCAAACCTCCTTCCTTAACTTCCTGGACTATACTACTCACAGCATTATGGCTTATTTTTCTGTTACTAATCTTTCTCGCTCAACTGTAAGGTAGGTAGAGTTATTTGTTTTTGTACATTTTCTGGAAGGTTATTATGTTTACATGATAAATCCTTAAATGCAGCAAGTCTTTCATCAATAAACGGGGGGAGGGGTTGAAGAGGGCAAGAGAACAGACTACACCATTGTCTCAAGAGATTAATGCAAAGTGTGGTGATGCATAGCTATAATCCCAGGACAGAGGAGTCTCAAGCAGGAAGATTACTGTGAATTCCAGCCTAATCTGGGCTATTTAATATATTCAAGCTCAACACAGTGACACATAGTAAAACCTTCTCTTAAAACAAAAAGTAACAAATCAACATTCCAGTAACTCAATTTCATTGATATCAAAATAGTGAGTGAAAAATGCAGACTTTAATCTTTTCATTTGGTGGTATTTCTAGCCAAATAATAGACTAAAATCTCCAGGTAAAAGATAGAAAATTATATTCAAGAATTCCATCTTAAGTGCCTCTCAAACAGAGGGCACCTAAGTGCTTAGGAGGATAGTTCTCAATGTCTGGTACACGTTGAGATCAACTGTAGGGCTTTTCTAGCATACATCTGCCCCAGCACTGTCTGACTCAGTACAGTAAGCTGAAGTGGGTACGAATGTCATTATTCTTAAGCTCCATTCTGATAGCAGTAAAGCCATTACAACTACTGGCCTAGGAGATTTTAAAAATTAGTGTATATAATTAACCACCTGCTTTAACTACTCTGGTAGTGCCATTTCTGTAGGATTAAAATGTACAGAAATGCTAAACTATTTTTGCAATAAACTGACAGAAATTTCAATCTTGAAAAAGGTTTCTAAAATTGTCTATTGAAATGATCCCATGGAATTAAACATGAATACTATTCAACAGCAAAATTCATTTAATATATAATCTACAATTTCTTTTTTAAAAAGTCTAAAAGCTAACACTAGAGTAAAATAATACAATTATAAAACAATATTAGAAAATAGTTTCTAAGATATTCAGCATTTTAAAGACTTTCAAAACCTTCTGTAATACTTAAGAATCTTTCCCAAAACACCGCATCTTAACAAAATAAACAACTGACCCCAGTGATTCTTTGTGTTAGAATGATTACCAGACACATCTAAAATACACACAGGTTCAAATAAGTAACACTGTAGTATTAAAAAATGATAAGAGAGAACATTCAGTCTTTAAACTTTCTTCACACGTAATTCTGGAAGAGCAAACGATAACTAAAGCCACATCAACTTAAAATAATTTTAGATATGCAGGTAATGCAAATAAAAAAAACCAATCCTACCTATTCCATATTGCAATTATATGAAATAATACTGAAAATAATAGATTTGGAAGCTTTCAGAATGCTAATTACCAAGTTGGCTATTGTATTGCATGTTCTGGAGGGCGAGGGAGGAGAACCTTGGGTATGAGGATACCTCAGGTTAGTTACACAGAAGTCCTAGGCAGTCTGGGCTATGAAGTAAGACTATCTCAAAATTTAAAAAGATAAATCAACAAAAAGACTATCATTACATTTGAGGAAACGGGACAATTTTTGCCCTCATATAACTATGACATCATCATAGTGATTTTTGGAATTATTTTTTAATCTTCTTGCCTCAACTTTCCAGAATGCTGTGATTACAGATATGTGCTACCATGCCCAGCTAACTATAGCACTTAAGAAAAATGTTCATTAGATGTTGCAGAATATTTGTTTAACTATGCAAAGATGTGCTGCATTTTTTTATGATGCAGAATAGTTGTTTAACTATGTAAAGATGCGTGGCTGTTTTACCTTGCCTAAGGCACCTGACTGGTCTAATAAAAAGCTGAACTGCCAATAGTGAGGGAGGAGGTATAGGATTTCTGGGCAAGAAGAGGAAATAGGAGGAGGAATTTAGGCTCGGGGAGGGGGAGGAAAGAAAGAAAAAGAGATGCCAGGGAGATGCCAGGGGCCAGACAGACACAGAGGAAGCAGGAAAGTAGGACATACAGAATGAAAGAAAGGTAAAAAGCCCCAAGGCCAAACAAAGATGAACAGAAACAGGTAAAATTAAGTTAAAAGAGCTAGTGGGACAAGCCTAAGCTAAAGCTGAGCATGCATAATAAGTCTCTATGTCTTTATCTGGGAGCTAGCTGGCTGCCCAAAGAAAATGCCAACTACAGTTAGATGCTTGGATTAATGAAGATGTGAATTAAATATCTCTCTACTTTGGCAACTTGTTAAAAAGGGTTGGCTCTTAATTTTCTTTAGTTTTGTTACATTCCAGTAAATTTTCATTGATCTTAAACCAGAATAGACTAGCTGACCATTTTATAACCTTACAAATTATATTCAAACTCAGTACGTTCATTTAATGGACACACAGATTTCTTAGGTAAATAATGAAATAGTAAGTTTATTATACAAAGGAGGCATTTGTTTACCGTCTCCAGCTAAGTCAGTCTCACTGGTGGCAATTTACTGTGAAAACGCTATGTGCTCTAAGAAATGGCATCACTACTTCAGTCTGGAAGAATTGGGTGTTTTTATCTTCTCATTTCTGAGACTTGGACCCAAACAGGGAATTATGACTAAAGAATTCAGTATTGGTAAACACATTGAATTTATTTCAGTGTAGTTTAAATCATGAAAACAAATAAGCGTAACTAATTCACGGCAGAAATGAGAAATAGTCACCACGACTTTTATCAGTACTATGGGAACTGACTCTCTGAGAGTTAAAATGCAGAGGTGAGGCAGTGAAATAAATTAATATGCGGGGATAGAGAGATGGGGAAAGTGGCAGCAGGTATCTGGATGGGTGTCACTCAATTCTCTACATCCACCTGGAATGGAAAGACCACTAGGAAGCTACAGCCAACAACCCAAAGGTGCAGTGTAGTTTATAGAATTGAAAAACCCATACCTATAGAAAACTCAAATATAAACTGGTAAATAAACTGATAACCAGAAAGTGTAGCTTATAATTGAAGTTAGGATAGTGATTCTATTTGTGTGTGTTCGTGTGTTGCTTTAGGCAAGCTACTCAAGTTTCTTGATTTTTCTATGTAATATATCAAATTTAGAAGCCAAGTGATTTCTAGTATGTATTTTATATCTAGAAAATTCTTTTTAGAACATTTATTTTAAAAAGTGCATAACCGATAAAAAGATAGGCTTATCAAAAATTTTCAAACTGTTATATATTCACTTCCAATAATCTACAAATCTAATAAAATATAAAATGAATCAAATTTCAAAACTGTCTTTTGACCACTTAAAAACACCAAATATCTATTTAAAAAAATATAGTCTCAACTCAAAACAAAAACTGATTAGACTATTGGTTTTCTCCAGAATACTGAGTTCATTCTAAATGAACAAAAATTTACATACATTTTTCTGGGTTTTAAGAGAAATACTCCTTTTGGCTTCATTAAAAAAGTTACCTCTAAAGGAATATATTAATAAATAGCACAATTCTTCCTTAGTATCTAAATTTTCATAGGTATAAATATGAAATTTTACCCCTCCAACAGTTTACCTACTGCTCCACAGGGTTTATAAACAGAAACGCTTTGAAGTTGATATTACTGTAGATTTTGCTTAAACAGTTAGAAGAGAACAACAATGAAAAACCCACAGGTCAGATTTTATCTCAGGAACAAAGAAGTCCAAAATGCAAAATAAAAATGGAATTAAGGCAGCTTGAACAGTGTCTACAACTTACCCACCCAAAATAGTGCTGCCACAGTGGACGTCACTCCTGGAAAGGCTGCTTACAGTAAAAGCCAAAAGTCAAAACGAGCACTGATGGATGCAAGGTCAGGTGCTTTTACTTCCAGGAGTGACAAATAATGTTCACACAGCTCAAATGAATGGGGATTAATATGAATATGCACCTTACCAGAGACGTTTATATTTACTACTAGGGATGTCTTAGCAATTCCATGTCCTCAAAGTCAATATAATTGTTGTAAAAAAATCAACTGTGGCTCGGAATATCCATTCACAGTTGACCTCAACAGTGTGTCTGACGTAGGAGACTGACTATCGGTGACAGGAAGGAGCATATGGTCTTCAGTTCCAAGTGGAAGCGCTAAGGGTAGAGTCATATCAGAAGGCTTCACATCTAGAGTTTCTGACAGAGGACTTCTTTGTGTGGGATCTTGTTCACTTAAAGCATGGTCATCTACACTGCAATCTGGAGTTTGATCTGTACCTGAAACGGAAGTCAGAAAGTACACTGCCTTTAACAATACAAAACACAACGATTGTCTGAGGGAGGCTAATCCACATACAGGTCCTAGAAATTACGCTGGGCCTCCACACCCATGTGCACCTGTTTCTCTCTCACCAATGTGTCTGATTTAGGCTTGCGCTGATACTACTAGTGTTGGGCATGTCTGGGCTTCAAGAGCAGGGTCAAGCACCAATGCCATTCATAAATAGATTTAACCATTCTAACCCTGGGTGAACCTTTTCTTATCTACCTTATTACATATCTGTCAAATTTCCTATTCTGCCCTGTGGTACCCATCCCTCTTATTCTTGTTTAACACTCTACTCAGTCATGCCTCAAATCCTTAACTAGGCTATGCATTCCTTGAGGGTAAATGCTCAGTTAGACTTCTCCAATTCCTCCCAAATGTAGAAGGGCAGTAAATAAATCTTTGTACACTGGATATTTTAATAAGCAGCTCATATTACTCTGTAGCTTCAAGTCTGTAGTACACCACTTATCGTTTATCTCCAGACGTGAGAAACTGTTTGACTAGACAAGTTTCCACACTGACTAGAGATGCAGTTTGTCTTCACTTTACTACTGCTTTCAGCGTCTGCTGCCAACCAAAACTGCGTGTGACTTCAGGAGCAGCACTAGATAGCCAACAGTGCACGATCTGTTTCATTAAGGTGCAATTCTATGTGTTCTTTAGTTTAACCAGTCAAAGAACAATCTGTGCTGTCTTGTCTTAGTGGCTCATCACAATGTCCTCTGCTTGGAATGAACCCATCCTGCCATCTCCATCCTCTGAATTCTTCTCTCTTCTTAAAGACGTCTATAAAAACAAGTCTTTTCTTTCCTAACAACCCTCCCCTTTTTTAAATACTGTCATTATGTAGCCCAAGTTGGCTCTGAACTTGCAGTCAGGCCGCTTTCCCTCAGCATCCTGAGTACTGGGACTATAGATAGGCCTGGGCTACCATGTCCAGGTTAAACTTAAGCCCATTCTAATGCTTCAGAAGAACTATCTTCTTTAGCACTTGTATTTACAATGTCTGACAATTTTAATTTAGTTAGATCTCTGATGTTACATCAAGGTTGTAAGCTCTTGTTCAACTCCATATGCCCTGCAGTTATGTGGACCCCGCAGGTATTAAATGGACCGTTGAACAGATTCACTGCAGTTTTAGATGTTTCTACCTCAATCCTTACAATGGTATTTATTAACATGTTTAGTTTTTTGGTGCTGGATGTTGCATAGGGCCTCATGCATGCTAGGTGAGCATTCTACACACCCACTATTATCATCTGCATGCTTGTGAGACTTTTCATCTTGGCAGAACGCCATGATAAGTACAGTGAGTCTCAGGCCTAACAGTCTGCAGGATGGCTTCCTATACTGACAGACCATTTTTGAGCTACCTATTTCCTCCCACTTTTCTAGGTTGATCTTCACGATGGCTCTTTTCTTCCTAACTACTGTCTGAATCACCCAGACTGCACTACTGAGAATAATGTTACTTAGCTTGTTAGATTTACTTTCATTTTTGAAACTACTCACAATCATGGTTTGTTCTGAGAAAGGGATGTCCATGTAGCTCACTTTGAACCACACTCTTCCTGCCTCTGTCTCCTAAGTTTTGTGTGTGATATGTGCCATATGCATTGTGGCAAGTCATATTTTTGAAGGAGGAAATAGCTGAAGTATTTTATTATTATTATTTTATATGTATGGGTGTTTTGCCTGCATGTATACCTGGTGCTTGTGGGGCCAGTAGAGGGCATCAGAGCCCAAGGAACAGGAGTTACAGACAGTTGTGAGCTGCCATGACAGTGCTGGGACTCTAACCTGGGTCCTCTGGAGGAGCAGCAGTGCTCTTAACTGCTGAGCCACCTCTCCAGACCCTGAAGGTTTTTGGTTTTGTTGTTGTTGTTGTTTATTTTAATGAAGTTCAATATTTCAAAAGAAGTGGAAAGAGGAATTTGCTGTAAATTATAAAGCTACTTTATATATATCTATCTATCTCTAAGTTTTCGTTGCTGTTTTATTTTCTAAAATTACTTCACTGGGTGTATGTATGTGTTTGTTAGTGTGTATATGTGTCTTCAGAGGACAGCTCTCAGGAAATTGTTCTTTCCTGTTATCTGTGGGATCTGGGAATAGAATTTAGGTTATTAGGCCTGAGCACAGGAGCCTCGAGTCCTGTTTTGTTGGGGATTTTTTTTTGTTTTATTTGTTTGCTTTTGGGGACAGGGTTTCGCTATGTGGCTCTAGCTGGCCAGCAACTAGATTTGTAGCCGAGCTGGCCTTGAATTTGAGATCTTTCTGCTTCAGCCTCCTGAGTACTAAGATTTGAAGTGTGAACCACCACATCTGCCTACACCTGGTTTTAAAGATACATCTAATTTACACTCTTAAATGCATATCTCAGCATGCTCAGGACCAGTGCCAATAGGGCAGTAAATGTTCTGCACATGCACTTACCAGAATGGACCTTTGTTTTGTGCTTCTTCAAATTTTTAATGTCTGTGTAAGAATTTCCACACAGTTCACAGATAAATGGTCGTTCTCCTGAAAAACAAGGTAAGAACTTTAAAAACTCAGTATTTTAAAAATTGCTAGCTGACACAAAACTATCAAAATGTTGATGAAAATAAAGCAAAAAAATATTTTAATCACTTGTTATGACAGTGAGATGAGAAATCCTATACACACAGATACACCTTTACTTCATAAAAAGTATAACCCAATTTCAGGAGAAATTAAGCATTCTCATTATCTGAAATTCTCAAAAATAATCTTTTTTATTGCTATCAGATACATATTGGATGCCATTTGTATGCTAAAACCTGGCTATAGAGCTAGGGAAAAGTATAATTATGACTTTTGTTCTCATACACCTCACAGATGAGGAAATCCTCTAAGAAAGACTGACAATATTCTACAATATAATTGTTTTAAAATAAGAACTGTTTAGGCTGGGACGTAGCTCAGAGGTAGACTGCAAGCATAGCATCTGCTAAGCTCTGAGTTTGCTCCCCAGCACTATGGGGCCGGGTGATGACTTAAGAACCATTTAATGCTTTACCCCAAAACCCAAGGACTATGAGAATACAGGAGCTGGCAGTGAATTTCCCAAGCCTGCCTATTCACATTACTTTGGATAAGATTTATGAAAACAGGTTGTGAAAAGAAATTGACAGTATATTCAAAGGGTAGTATTTTTCTTTCTTTTAATTTTTAATTTTCAATATTTTCTTCATACTATTTATATATTACATGTTATAATAAACATGTTTATATTATAATCTATTCTGAAAATTTGCATATAAGAACACCACTTTATAATTCTGATAGTTCCTTGGTATTATCTATTCATTTCTGATATATTTATTCAATTTAATCCAAGTGTTTTTGTTTGATGGATATCTGGCATATTTCTTAGAAAATGTACACAATTCTTAACCAAATTTAAATTATACTCTTAACAACTAAGAAAAGATAAAAGAAAGAAATGAACAAATAAAAACCTGATATGTATACATTAAAAACTTTTATCACGAAGTAATGACTAGATACTATATAGCCCACAATGGTTTCAATGCTAAGGTTTACATACAAAGGAATTAAGAGAGAACAAAAAATAATACGTTCTCCCTAAACACAGACCTGTATGGGATCGAAAGTGTTTGTTGAGCTCTCCTGAGGAAATAAAACTTTTCCCACAAATACCACATATGTATGGTTTTTCACCTAGATGGAAAATAAAAGATAGCGAAGTGGTGTACTATACCAATATAATATTTATCAATCACAAGTGATCTAAAGTAATCTTTTAAAAATATCATCTATAGGAAAGCCTTCTACATTGTATCTTAGAGGCATTTTCAGTAATCCAATATAACAAACTATTATTTTATATTATCTGTCTAGCTTGATACTTTCCACATACTAAAACATTCCTTCTGCAAATGTCTCTTCTCTCCTAGAAGAGATCACCTGGACAATGTGTTTCTTAAGAGTAAGAGCATGTTAAGTTAAGCCACATTTCAAATCTCGCTTCTACTTTATTACTCAAGATGAACATGCACATTTAAGAAGATCATACTTAGCAATCCACCGTACAAGTGAAGGGTCACTGGGTTTCAGAGCTGTGACTTGCACTTAATGCATGTCTGTGTTGCAAAACTGAGAATGTCTATGCAAAGGAGGTAGCAAGCCACAAAACAAGTTTCCTACCCAACCCAACTCCCACTTACTTAACTCCCCTTTCACACGCCTATTCAAAGGAGATTTAAAAAAAAAAAAAAAAGGCTAATAAGGTTTTCTCTAGTCATAAAAAACATGTCTCAATTCAATTTATATATCTTCAGAATTATCCTGCTTTAATAAGTATAAGCTACAAGGTAAGTTTTCACCTACCTTGTATTATTCTAGAAAATGTCAGATTTTTAATCTAAGAGTTATGTGAAAATCATGAACACAACTTCAAAAACACCAATGCAGATATCTAACTAAGAAGTCTACAATCTACCTTTCGTAAGGAAACAATTCCCATTTCTTTTATCTACAACCTTACTATAGCCATCTCTGTATTATCTCTTACCTGTATGTTTTCGAGAATGAGTGATTAGAGAACTAGAGACAGCAAATGCCTTTCCGCAGGTGTCACACACATAAGGCTTTTCTCCAGTATGCCTACGGACATGATAGGTCAGTGTGCTGGCTTGGGCGAATCTCTGCCCACATCTATCACAAACATATGGCTTCTCTCCACTGTGCTTCCTATTAGTAAATATAGAGTAATATAACAGTAAGTAAAGTAATCTGGAGGTCAATGTATATATGAAGGATTTCTTACATAATTTTTCATGCAGCATTTTATTTCATCTTAACAGGCTAAGATTACACATTTAAATTCAATAGTTGTTTCTACGTAAAACCCTATCCCCTAACCCCCGCTCCAAAAAATTTTTTTTTAGGTATCAAAACAGTAGCAGAGAAAGAAGTTAAAAAAACTTCTGCTATCATCATTATATAGTTGTCTTGGAGTTTCTGCTGCTGTGATAAAGATCATAACCTAAAGCAACTTGGGGAGGAGAAAGTACATTTCAGCTTATATTTCCACATCATAATCCATCACTAAGGGAAGTCAGGGCAAGAACTGAATTAGAGGCTATGGAGGAGTGCTGCTTACTGGCTTGCTCACCATGGCTTGCTCAGCCTGCTTTCTTATACACCCAGGACCACCTGCCCATGTCTGGCACCAACCACAGTGAGCGGGGGCTTCTCAAATTAATCGTTAATCAAGGAAATGACCTATAGGCTTGCCTACAGGCAACCTGATGGAAGGAATGTTCTCAACCAAGATTCCCACTTCCTACATATGACAAAAACCAACTAATACAACAGTTATCACCAAACCCCAAATACAGCAATTATTTTGCCAGTCCCTTACTGGTCAAAAGTTCTTCCTCAAATTACTAGCACCTTCTCATCTACCTTCACACCCAGCTGACAGCTGCTTCATAGTTTACCGAGAAAAACTTAAATCAGAAGAAAATTTGGGGCCAGTGAGTTGGCTCAGTAGGTAAAGGTACCTGCTGCCACCTAAGTTTGATCACTCAGGTTGTCCTCTGGCCTCCACAGGCATGCCATCCATAGTACAAGTATACACAAACACACACAAAATAAACAAAAATGTAATTTAAAGAAGGAAAAGTTCCATATCATAGCACCCTACCTAGAGCATCTGTACATATATATCTTGTTCTCTTTCTGACTGTCACTTGAAGGTTCAAATGACAGTTCAAATTTGTTTTAGTTCAGCTAAAACAAATCCCCTAACTCCGGGTGTTAATAGTTTGAATCTACAATGCTCCCTAAAGGCCAAGTGCCAAAGGCGTGGTCCCCTTTAGGTGATGGAAACTAGGAGGTAGGGCCTTGTTAGAAGAACAACTAGGTCACTGAGATTACACCTTGGAAAACTATATCTTGTTCCAAGTCCCCTCGACAGCCTCTGCTTCTTGACTGCCATAAGATGAGCAGTGGACTCCACTGTGCCCTCTCTGTCATATTGGTTTGCCTTACCTAAGGCCCAGGCGCTATGCGGCCAATAGACCTTGGACTGAAACCTCTGGAACTATCTGCCAACATAGTTCTTTCCATCTTAGGGTAATTGCCTCAGATATTGTCTCAGTAACAGCTGGGTATATAGAAAAAAAGTAGTACCAGTGATGAGTTCACTGTGGTTGTATCTCACAATGTGGTCCAGGAGCTTTTAGAACTGACTTTAGGAGGAACTAGGGAAAGTTTAGAGATGCAGGTTAGAGAAGTTCTAGAAGATGCAAGCAGAGCTTAGTGGGTCATTCTGATGTAAATTCAGAAGACCATAATTCTGATAGAAATGTGGATAGGAGCCAGAAGTAGGAATGATGGACACATGGTGAAAACACTCCTGAGGCTGAGGCGGACACCTTAAAAAGTTGAGATCAACTGGAACACAGTTTTTAGAAAGGGGAGAGAGGGAGGAAGAATAACAGCAAATGAAAAATGACAATACAGACTGTGCTCATGAGTTACAGAAGGAAATAACGCCACCAGGAACTGAACTTGAGAACAATTTTGCATTCTGGCAAATAACTTGTTTACATTTTATCCATGCTCTGAGACTCTGAGCTGGGTTTAAAGACTTAATTATTCCAGTGGAAGACATTTCAAGGCTGCACAGTATACAGGTGTTATAAGCATTACTTGCTACTTTTAGCCAGATTTACAGTGAGTAAAAGCAAAGTGGAAATTTTGGAAAAACTTGGAGGTTTGGCTAGAAAAGAATTGCGGGTAAAGCTGGGCCAAGGAAGACACAGCTGAAGAACAGACGAGCACAGTGGGGACAAAGTCAAGGACTGGAGACAGCTCAGCTGGAGAGCACGTGTCCAGCACGTTGGGAGCCTAACTTTAATTCCTAGCACCACAAAACAGACAAATGATAATTCTAATCAATGGTATATTTTTGTAATCTCAGCTCTCAGGAGGGAGAAGTAGGGGGATTTGGGGCTAGAGACCAGCCTGGCTATACAGCAAGACTCTGTCTCCAAAAAAAAAAAAAGCCGGGCATAATGGTGCACACCTTTAATCCTAGCAGAGGCAGGTGGATCTCTGTGAGTTCAAAGCCAGCCTGGTCTACAGAGCCAGTTCCAGGACAGCCAGAGCTACATAGAGAAACCCTGTCTCGAAAAATCAAAAAAAAAAAAAAAAGGAAAAAATTGGCCAAATCTTACCCATCAAAAGCTATGGGGTATGAAAATGTCAATTCATTTGCTTGAGAATAAAGTACTAGGCACCCTGCCCACATAGCCCACTGTAGCCATGCTCCATACAGGCATTTGGAGTCTATTGTAGTCATGGTCCATTGGGCACAGCCACTAACTTCCCTTGGAAGACCACAGTGGAGCTATCACAGCAATCAGGAAGAAGAGGCAGAGGAGGATCTTGCAAGGGTGGCTAGGGCAAGACACAATCCCTAGAAGCTCCGGACTCAGTTATTTAAGTAGGTTTCAACACCAAAAATGTCACCTCCCCTAATTCTCTGATTAGGTCAGAGCCACTTCCTCAAACATCACCTCAACATTGTTGTACTGGGGACTCTGCCTTCCACAAATGAGCATTTGGGAGGTATTTCAGATCCAAACTATAATCTACCTCTAGCCCCAAATGTTCAAGCCCATCTCACATGAAAATGCATCCATCCATCTCTAAGTGTCAAAAGTCCAGGTCTAAAGTTTCCGAGACTTGGGGCAACTCTGAGTTGTGAGCATTTGTAAAAATCAAAACACGGTTTACATCAATTCCACGGTACAGTTCCCATTCCAAAGGAGAGGAATGAGGGAATGCAAGGAAGATGAAAGTAAGGTGATAACCTGGTAGGGCAAGCATCAAATGATCAGCATGGGGTAATGTGAGGCTTGCTCTGGGTACTCGTAAAAATGGACTCATTAGGTCACAATAATTAACTCACTTAAAGGTCAAACAACTCGTGTTTTTTGGTTTTTTTTTTTTTTTTTTTTTTTTTTTTTTTTTTTTTTTTTACCTTGCATGAATCTTGAGATTGCTAGAAGTTGCAAACTGTAAATTGCACACATCACATTTATAGGGTTTTTCCTCACCATGATGCATGCGACTGTGGAAGACCAGCTGGCATTTCTGAGCAAATCCTTTATCACATAGTTCACATTTGTATGGCCTTTCCCCTAAAAGATCAACAACGTTTGTATTAGGAAGGAAAAAAAATCCCGTTTAACTTGCTAAGGTCATAAACTTTCAAGGCTTTTAAGAGTGCCAATGGTACTGGTTTTGTTTCCAGAAAATGGTAACTTCTAAGTAGCCAAGGCAAATGCGAAGTCCTTCAGACTACTGAAAACACTAGGAGGAAAGAGATTAATCCTAACAGTGACAGGTGATCAGCAAGAAAAATGTATAAAACACAAACCTACGTGTACCAATGGATGCTCACACTTTGCCAGCAGGTCATGCAAAACAGATAACAGAGAAGCTGAGAGAGAATGATGTTCAAAAAACTAATGAAGTCTAGAAGCATGTAATGAGAAGTACTGGTAATATGTGAAAACTGGACTGAGTTTTAATAATTGTCTCTGTTAAATACTTTAAAAGCTAGAACCAAGCCAGGCCTAATGGTACAGCTCTATAATCCTAATTACTCTGGAGGCTGAGGCAGGAGGATTGCAAATCCAAGACTTACACAGCAAGTTCAAGGCTATCTTGAACAACTTAGCAAGACACAGTCTCAAAATAAAAAAAAGTCACATGGGGAAGGGGAAGGGCTATAGCTTAGTGGGGGAGTACTTGCAGGGAGTGCTTAAGGCCCAGGTTCAATACCCAGCTAGGGACAGGGGTTGGAACCAAGTTTACGCTTGTTATGAGAGAAAATGATGTAAGGACCTGATACACTAGAACTTAAAATGTCAATTATAACAAGGAGCTGTTAAATACTTGGTTACAATTACAAATAAGAGTTTAAGAGTCTAATGCTGAAACGTCTTACAAATAGAAGAATATGGCCAATTTTGTGGCAAGGCTGTCAATGCTGTATGTTCATATCATCTCTACTGGCTGGAGATACAACTTAGTATGGTGTGTGCTCAGGTGAGGTCCTGGGTTCAATCCCTAGTACCAAAATAGAACAGAAAAGAAAAAAACAAACCCATCGCACAGCAGTCTTACCTGTATGAGTCCTTACGTGGGTTTTCAGCTGGTTACACTGGGTAAAAGCCTTTCCACACAAGTGGCAGACATAGGGCTTGACTCCTTTATGTATTCTCATGTGCCTTCTCAAGCTGCTGGCTTCTGAAAACACCTTCCCGCATGTGTTACACATTGGCTTGGCCTTCGAATACCGCTGATCCAGCTCTTCTCCAGTGTTCTCCAGTTCATACGGACTCTTTACACTGGTTATATTAGACATGGAGTGTTCTTTCAGAGCACAGTGTGACTGTGACTTTCCACGTTTCCGTTTGACGGTAACAGTTTGCACAATATCTTGTGCTGGAAAAGTATTTTCCACAACTGAGGTCAACTCAAGTTCTGAATTATCATTTCCTTGGATGACTTGTTCAACCACAGGGGAGGACAATTTATTTGTATCTAGGAATAATTCAACAGATGCACTCTCTAAAACATCACTGGGATAGTGCACTGTTTTATTCTGCCCTGGTTTCTGGGAATTGAAAGCCTTTTTCTTCTTTTTACTTTGAGACGATTTCTTTGCCAATGAACGTTGTTTAGGATTTGCCTGAACTAAGTCTGTGGACACTTCTGATTTCTCCCGATTGTTATAATCTCGCAGAGTAAGAAGACAGGTCTGTTGATTCAATTCGATGTTTCCAGTAATACTAGATATTTCTGTAGAAGAGGGACTAGCAATAAAAGCAAAATCTTCCATCTTTATTTTACATTTAGTTACTACCTCTTCTACTTTGAGATAGTCAGCAGCCTGATGAATTTCTTTAACATTCCAACTGTAAGGAAACAAGGCTAGATGACAATATTCCAACCAAAAGGAAAAGTTGAAGCAACTGCACATATACTTGAATATCTTTTAAAGAAATAATGAAGCAGAATTCTGGAAAAATTTAAACTAAGTAACAAATTTATAAAATGTAATTTTACAGAATATTTGAGCAGGTATCTCCAATTTTATAGATACTAAAAAGATGAAAAGAATGCCTACTTATAGATGTTGATGAACCATTATGGAATAGCAAAATGTTAAATTTTCTGGCTGCTTAAAAAACAAGCAAAAAAAGACTTGTATTGAAAACTGGTTGTTGGGTGGCCAGCAAGCTGGCTCCACAGGTAGAAGCATTAGCTGAGCAAGCCTATAGAGCCAAGGAACCCACATAAGAGCGACGTACCTGGGATCTCAAGTGTTCCTACACCAAGGTGTGAGACAGACACAGAAACAAGACCCTGCCTCAACAAGAAAGAGAAACTAGTCCCCAGAACTGTCCTCTGATGTCCACATGTACACTGTGGTACACACATGTGCATGTGCACTCACAAATACACACACACAAATCTGTTTTGTTTCTTTGATGTCCACATGTACACTGTGGTACACACATGTACATGTGCACTCACAAACACACACACACACACACACACACACACACACACACACACACACACACACACATCTGTTTTGTTTCTTTTGAGACAGGGTCTCACTATGTAGTTTTGACTAACCTGAAACTCACTCTATAGACCAGGCTGGCCTCAAACTCATAGCATTCACCTGCCTCTGCCTCCTGAGTGCTGGGAATAAAGGCATGCACACCATGCCTTGCTATTTTTTTTTTTTTAATGTTGTTGACAATACACTGCTTCCTCCCATCTCCTCCAAGGTTTCTTCAGATATCAATCAAGTTTTCTGGATTGGCAACAGAGTTCAATGAAATATTTCCTACTTTCCTGTTCTGCACTCTGAGCTCCTTTTATCTATGCTTCTCAAACTTTACTGTCAATAGGAATCATGGAGGGGTCTTAATGAAGACTGAAAGACTAAATTCAGTCATCAATGATAGTGCCAGACAATCTGCAACTGTACTGCACTCCCTGCTAGGTCAATGTAGCTGGCCCATGGATTACAATTGGGAGGGACAAGAGTTCATAATGTGCTAACCTCTCTCTAGCTCAGCTTACTGTCAGAAAAGCTTATCATGTTAGCTTTGTATAGAAAGACAAGTCACACTGTTCAACATTCCAGTCATATTTACTATCCACCAAGAGTGGTACCAAGAGGAGTATTATTAGACATTTACAGTATAGAAAAGAGGTGATTGGTATATTTAGCACTGGATCCAGCATTCTATGAATTCACCAGGGTGAGGCAGCATCACTGGCTTAAAATTCCTAAGTTGTAAAAACAAGAGTTTAGTTGGTATTAATAAACCGCTAATAAGACTGAAGTGTGACATCTTGAGCTAATACAAGCATATAGATACACACAAGTAAACTTCCTGCTGGCCATTTTGCCAGGTGTTACTTGGTTCACTAACATAGCTCTCTTCTGTTTTCTTCCCTGTAAGTCAGAAATAGGTTCCAATTATAGTTGATAACATATAATAAAGACAATATTGTTACTGCTTTTTTAAGAGGGAATAAACTTTGAAGCAAAATAAAAATAACCAGAATATTGACTGTCTGGGATCTCCAAGACAATCTTGCATGTGTACTGCTCTCTACCGACTGCTGACCACCATCTAGTCACACCTTTGTCTCAGTGCCACTGAGTTGTACTTTTACCTCATTTACTATTCTCCTGGCTGTCTAAAACGTCTTTTATGACAATGATTTTCAACTCACTGTAGGCTAAAGAGCTGTATGGAATTTGGAAACCTATTCACCAGCCGAAAATATTTTATTCTCTGGGAAAATCCATTCAAATTTTTAAACTTACTACATATCAACTTCTGGTATATAGTGTGTCTGAGTCTCATCCCTAGATAAGAAAATATTATTCAAGATATTTTCTTATAGGCTCATTGTGAATAGATTTAGAATAGATCATGAATCTTTACAATTGAGTTAATTCTCTACATATATTAGAAAATGTATTCTCTAATACAAACTGTACTTTACAATGTATGTTACAGCATCACCACTGACAATAAACAATTCATTATATATATTTTCGTAGAATAAAAATAAAATCTGCTCTACCACTTAATACATTTAACTAAAATAAAGCTATTGGTCTCAAAGTATATTTGTGCTTTGTGTTCCATCAAATGAACCATCAAACAGATAACAGGGTGAAATAAACTCTAAAAATAACAAAACTAGCATTAAGTCACATACTAACTGTACAATGCCAAAACAATAATTTCCACAAACTATTCCGCAGCCTATAATCTCAATGAAGACACCAGATGAAGAAAAGCAATCATAGTTTTACTTGAAAAACTGATCTTCTTGGGGCTGAGGAGGTTAAGTGCTCTCACTGCTCTTAAAAAGGAGCACAGGTCAGTTCTCAGCACCTCCATCAGGTGGCTCAGGTTCCACGGGACCCAGTGCTCTTTCCTGGCCTCCAAGGGCATCCACACATGTATAACTACATGAAAAACATTAGTGAAGCGAGTCTTTGTTAAATGTGGTTTTCTTCACATGCATCAAGCTACAGTGCTTCCAAATTCATTTTTACCCTTTAAATAGTCACTGCAGATTATTTAATTAAGTATAAGAATTCTCAAGGGCTGTGGCTGGGGAAGTTCAGTGGGAGAATGCTTGTCTAGCATACATGAAGCACTGGGTTCAATCCTAATCAATACAAACACATGCACACATATTCTCTCTCACTCTCTCTCCCCCAAAAGAGCCAAAGAATTTAAGTAACTTGTTAGAACCAAGAAATAACCAAAGCAATCTAGCTCTTAAGATCACTTATTTTTTATTGTTGCTTCTTTCTTTCTTCCTTTCCTTCCTCCCTCCTTCCCTTTCTTTCTTCCTTCCAGAGAGAAAGAATGACATTCATTTTGGGGGGCTGGAGATGGCTCAGCAATTAAGAGCACTGGATGTTTTCCAGAGGGCCTGGGTTCCATTCCTAGCACCCATAGTGGCTCACTCCAGTTCCAGGGGACCCAACGCCCTCTTCTGGCTTCCATGGGCACCAGGCATGCAAGTGATGCACAGACATACACGCAGGCTAAACACCCATATACATGAAATAATATTTTTTAATGAGATACATTTTGTTAATTATGTGCACGTGTATGTGTTGGGAAAAATGTATATGAGTGCAGATGTCCACAGAAACTCAGATTCCTCTAGAGCCACCCTGAGTGCTGTGAACTTAACTGGAATCCTCTGCAAGAGCAGTTGAATGACAATAAATGAATGAATGAATGAATGGATGGATGGATGGAGGGAGGGAGGGAGGGAGGGAGGGAGGGAGGATGGACAGGTGGACTTGACTGCTCCTAGGTATGGTGGAGGAGAAGGTTTACTGTAGATAAAAGGGAGACATAGTCAGAGGCAGGGACATCTGTAGAGTCCAGAGTGAACATGAACCTGAGTTGGAGGTGGGGAGCTGCCAACCAAGAGGAGAAGCCTGGGTAAGATGAGAGGCAGAGGGGAGGTGAAAGGACTAGAAGGAAGGTAGCTATGATGGGGGAGAGGATGGAAGCAGGGAAGGTGTTCATTGGTGGGACCAAAGGATTAGTTCGGCTCTTAATAGCTCCCCAAAATGAATGTCTTTCTTTCTCTCTGGAAGGAAGGAGGGAAGGAAGGGAGAGAAGGAGGGAGGGAGAGAGGAAAGAAGCAACATAACAGAAAATTAATTTTGATGGCCAACAGGACATGAGATGGGAACAGAAAGTGTAAGGGGAAGAAGGCTTGGAACAAGGGCAGACATACAGAATCCAGTGAGGGAAGGTTGGAAGGGAGAAGAAGAAAAGGGGATCTCCTTCCATCTTTCCACGGGCACAAAAGTTGTAAAGGTCCTTTCTGTCTGATTGTCTAGGGGGTATAAGGGCCATTCTTGAGTACTAAGATGCACCAGTAATGTCGGGTTTGAGTTGGAGTTGCTTGAGGCCATCTCATCACTAATGGTGGCTAGTGAGTGAGGGTCTTGATGGCTAATAGGGAGGTCTCTGGGAAGGAGGGATTGTCACCCAAGTTCTGCCACCAAGAGGGAGACAGAATGGTCTGAGGAGAAAGCCGGGGACCTGTTGATGGGGTTTTTGGACTGTTAGGAACAGACACCAGATTTCAGCAGAAAAGCCTTGATAAGAAAAACGGAAAACCTCCAACCAAGCTGAACTGAATGGAATGTGCCTGGCAGCCATCTCAGGGAACATGCCACCCCACAAGACAGAGAAGGGACGTAGGACGATCAACAGTCATCACCTGATGTTTTGGGGAATGTTCAAGATGGCTAGTAAAGGGAAACTCACCAACTAGCCACTGTTGTATGAAGGCAGCATGTGCCAGATAGTCCAGAAAGTGCAAGAACTGAGTGGTGGTGGGTGGTCCTATAAACCAATCCGAGTTATGTTATCAATGAAGTGGGCGGCCTTGGAGTTGGCACAGAACATACCCAGACACCAAATTCTCAGCACAAAGGAGATTTTATTACTCCTGAGATTGGGGCAGGGCGGGGGGCGGGGGCTTCCTTTGGATGGGGTAAAGACATCAGCAGGCGTCTCTGCAGAGTGAGTTTTTAAGGAACAAAGGGAAGTCAGTGCTAGGGTGACTTGGTGAGTCCTGATTGGACAGGTCAGCCAGTGTAGACAAATAATGAACTTTGGTTGCTGGACCTTGGTGATCAGCCTCGGGAATGAGTTGGGCATAAGGAAGTGACCAAATAAGGGACTGGACCTTGGCGACTAGCTTGAGGAATGTAATCTAATGGTTTAGCAAGAGAGACAGAGGGGGGAAGGGCTTGGACCTGGTAGAGTCCAGCCCTGCTAAGTCAATTGCTAAATATTGTCCTTCCCATTTCAGCATAAATCGTTTAGACTTCAGGCTAGGTTCACACCAGTATTTAACTACTCACCGGGAAAGACACAGCAGGCACAGGCAGGCGCGCGCGCACACACACACACACACACACACACACACACACACACACACACAGGCGGAGGGTGGGGGAACTAAACACTTGTTCTTCTTTACATTGGCTCTTTGCATGAAGGCACAAAGGAATGTGCTTCCAGGATGTTCAAGTCAATTTAAGATTTTTTTCACAAATAGTGAATTAAGAAAGAGAAACCAGCTGGGTGATGGTGATGTGTGTCTTTAATCCCAGTACTGAGACTGAGGCTTGTATCTGTAATCCTAGCAGTCTGGGGACTGTATTTGAGGCCATCCTCAGTTACAGAGTTCGTTTCTGGTCAGTCTAAGCTACAGAAAGAGATCCTGTCTCCAAAAAAATAGAAAAGAAAAAGAAAACTGAAACTAAAAAGGTAAAATCTAAGGTAAAACCCTAAAAGGTAAAAATCAAAGAGTCTACCAAAATCCACTACTCTGAAGTTACTACTAATATTTACCATATTTATTTATTTATTTTTGGTTTTTCGAGACAGGGTTTCTCTGTGTAGCTTTGCGCCTTTCCTGGAGCTCACTTGGTAGCCCAGGCTGGCCTCGAACTCACAGAGATCCGCCTGGCTCTGCCTCCCAAGTGCTTATTTACCATATTTAAATAATTGTAGGAGATTAATTTATCTATCCTTATTACAATCAAGAGGCATCTTGATTCTAGCATGTATAAGAAGTATATTCCACAATAAGCTACAAGACACAAGGAAAGGATCTGAATTGTGTATATGCATACATCCATTAAGATGGTCTGGAAAAGATTATGTACGAAAACAGTGCTTATCAGTAGGTAGCAGAAGCTCATGATTTTTTCCCCTTTCTAATTTTCATTTAACAAATGTAGACCTAAACAGGGCAAAGAGTAAAGAAATAAAATATAAAGTAAACTAATGTTTGTTGCAAGGTGGGGGCTTCAAGTAAGTCTTCCCTTAATCTTTAAAATAACACCAATAGTTACTACTACTCACTTTTATGAGGAGATTAAGGCCCAGAGAGGCATTATTAATGGAGATACATGATCAGCCAGCCAGAGAGATACAATTCCAATGTCTATAATTTTTTCTTTCGGTAGTTCTGGCTGGCCTGGAATTCATAGAGATACACCTGCCTCTACATGCCAGGTTCTGGGATCAAAGGCCTGCACCACCATGACTGACCTGTAAATCTGTTCTATCAGTCAATAGTCTAAATGAAGGAAAGAAGGCAAGTATAATGTGACCAGATTTTGGTTTTGCCCTCTCTACCTCTTCTCCTACAACTAGGAATGTATCACTATTAGTCTAATTTTCATATAGAGGAAACAATATATCTCTACTCTGAGACTCTGAAAACCTACTTGCTATTGAAGGGGCAGCAGCAAGCATCTTTGGAGATAGCAGTATGTGTGCATTCATGTGCACATGGACATGCAGATGCACGTGTATTTGTGTGTGGAGGCCACAGCTGACTTGGTATCTTCCTTGGTGACTTTTCACCTTATTATGTGAGACAGGTGCTCTCACTGAATCTGAAGCTCACAGATTTTGCTGGGCAGGCTGGCTGGCTAGTGAGCTCCACCCCAGCAGCATCGGGATTACACAAATGCTTTTATACTGGTGCTAGGGATCCAAAATCAGGTTCTCACACTTGCATGGCAAGCACCTGACCACTGGAGGCGTCACTGGGGCCAGGAGTTAGAGTCTGAAGAGAAGCACAGTAAACCTCTGGCTTGACTGGAGCTTTGGGTAGGTTAACAACAGTAACAGACTTATTGTTACTCATATTCCCACAGTTACCTGCTAGAACCATGATCAGGAAGTGGTGCACATTGTTACAGGAGTTAGCAGTGGAAGACACTAGGACATGAGGTAGTTCTTTCAACACTACTCCAAAACCTCATAAGGAGCAAGGGGCAGAGTGAGGGAGAAGGCCCAAGGAACACCAAGACCAAAAGCAACGGGAAATTCAAATTCACTTAGAAGTCACTGTTTAAAACTTCACATTTGCAAAATTCAAATAGAGAGCTTTTTTTCCCCAAGTGAATAAGTACGTCTGACAGAATTCTTGATTTTAAGGGCTTTTTTTGTGGTTATCAAACATCTTTTCATCCTAAACAAAGCTATTGAAGCTACGTGCGTGTGTGTGTGTGTGTGTGTGTGTGTGTGTGTGTGTGTGTGTGTGTGTGTGATGTGTGTTGTGTATAGTATGTATATGTACAGATATATGTATATACATACACACACACACAAACACATGTGTATGCATATAATAGTGCATGTCAACACTGAGAATGAGTGTAGAGACTGAATGGGAAAAAAATATGAATCTATTTTAGCTCTGAAGACTGACTAGCTTTTATAACTGAGTAAAAACGTGTACTTTACCTGTCGAGATTTAAAGTTCCCGTATATATAAACTCCAACAGTTTCTGAAATCCGTCAGCCTTCACCTGACTCTGATCAAGAAAAACATTGTTCTCAGAAGTGCTTCTGTAGATCGCACCGAAATACTCACTAAAGGAGGCAAGCACATTCCTATGCGCCTTAAACTCGAACTCGCCAATCACGACGGTACAGTCGCAAAGAAATCCTGCTTCCCGCTGTTTGTTCAGTCTCTCTAAAAGGTGCTCACAGTGGTGTGAATACTGCATTTTGATATCAGAATGGAATTTTACCCTTGATCTAAAAGATAAAAAGAAACAGTGAATCAATAACCATCAGCTCTCATCCGATATCCACCCAAGCAGAGACGGGAGAGTGGAGAAGGGACAAGACTAAACAGGAAGAATGGAGTTCTCACTTCCCGCCCCCCCTGCCCCAAAGCCTCATCAAACACACATGGTGATTAAGTGCCTCTCTTTGTGTTACTGCACTAGGACACTAATGCAATAAATGAAGGAACCCAGTTTCATGAGTTGTAAGAAGGGTCTTAAAATCCTAAGCTTTTGTAGTTGACCCCTCAAACTTTCAAGCTCAGGAGGGATATTTATCTGGAGGTGCTTGAACAAACTAAGAACTGACTCCCTGAGGCAGCGGGGATAAGAACAGGACACGAGTTGGTTAAATTGCTCTCTGATCACTGAAACCTGGAGGCTTGGCCGGTGCGGCTCCTTCCCGGCGCTGGGCAGGTGCAAGGGGGCGGAAACGCCCCACCAGACGCGGCTTGTCAGAGCTTCCGTCACTCCCCAGGGGAGGACACACCCCTTGCCTGGCCGCTGCAAGCCGGGCAGCGGCGGAGTGACAGCCCCGGCCAGCCCGCCCGGCCTCCGCTGCCCTGCCCTCCTCCCAGCTCGCACTGCCGCCAGTTCCCACGGGCTGCAGCGCCGGCCACCGCCGACGCTGCCTCTCCCAGGACACCCTCCTCCAGCCCGAAGCGCGCTCGATCTCCAAGGCGCCAGGCCACGTCGGACCCCGGGATCCAAGAGCGGAGGACCGCAGGCCAGGCAGAGGGCGGCACTCACCGGTAGCCGCCCAAGGGAAACAGTTTCCTCACTCTCTCTCCGCCATCTTGGGAGGACGTCACCGCGACGCTCCGCCTCTCCCTTCCTCCTCCGCTGTAGCGTCACGTCCGGGTGTGTGGTCCAGCGTGGACACCGGCCATGGGACTGCAGAGGTCCGCCAGGGCGGGCGAGCTGGCTCCCGGAGGCCTAACTTCCCGGCATGCCCGGGGCGCCGGAACACACCTCAGGGCTCACTCACATCCTAGGCCAGATGCTCACCTTGTCAGCCCGCAGGCGTGGGCCCGGATGCTGGGCTGAGACCCCGCTCGAGTGCACAGCCGGCCTCTCCCGGAGCCGCGCGGCGCACTGCATGCTGGGAATTGTAGTTCTTTTCCTCTCCTGTCATCTTCTCTTCATTAGCGCCCCTCCAGTGGAGATTACGGCGCTGTGCACCCTGGCTCTTGCCCGTGGCGGCTGGGAGGGATGTGCTTCCTCTTTTGCATACCCGAAAGCTCTTGGGACCCCCAGAGTTCTGTTTGAGCCCGGCCACTGAAGCTCATCTTCCAGGATGCCCTTACCTGGTGACAGAAGGTGGAGATGCACGAAAGCAAAGCAAAGCAGCAGGGCACACTGGGCATGCGCAACATGAGAGGAAGGTGGGCTTTCTACCGGAAAAAGGTTTTCCTGCGCCTGAACCAGAACAATTTTGGCAGTTATTTACATCGAAGTCAGATTTCGTGCCGTAAAGGAAGAAGCGCAGAGTTATCGCTGCACTATACGAAAGTGCCAGAAAGTTTTGATGTGTTCGGGTAGATTCCTCCCTAGAACCTGCGGACGTTTCATAAATCTTAAAAACCACAACTTAAATGTTTGTTGCTGTCAAAAGTTATGTTTCTGGACCTTAAGGAATTTGCCCGGGACTTTATTTGAAAAGACAGTCTCAAAAAAGGAGACTTTCCCCCTACCGGAATCTTTTTGCATTATAACGTCTCTGTAAGAATTTGTGAATAAAACCACAGTCGTGCTTATAAGAATAACGTTGAGGCTACTTCTTTATTTTATATTTCTGAGTATAAATTTACTTTTAATTTCACCTTTTTGTCGAGCCCTTTTCGATATATAGTGAACTTGACACACAGATTAAGAATACAACATAGCCTGGCATGGAAGGGAAAATGGAAAACTCCAGAGGGAGAGCTAAGGGCTATATAAAAATGCTCCAGAGACGATAGCGCTAACAGTTGGTTTCGTTTGATCCTTCTAGGATCAATAGCTACCTTATCAGCTCTTTTTGTTTGGTGTTCTCTTCTGGCTATAAGGGTGTTTCCAACATTAACACAGCTGAGTGAAAACAGTTCTTTTAACATATTTCTTCAAGTCGCCACTTACAGGATTTGTTTTCAAGGTTTTGAGAGCCAAGCTTTTGAAAAGTGAATCCAGACAATATTGGTTAAAATAGCAATCATGTTTCCGCCCGGTTTCGAACCGGGGACCTTTCGCGTGTTAGGCGAACGTGATAACCACTACACTACGGAAACTTGGCTGAGCGTGAGGGCTGAAAAGTTCTTGGTATGTGATGTTCTCACACACGCTTCACAAACGTTTCAAGACTCATGTAATTTTCAACTGGGGGGTGGGGTGGGGGAGCATATAGTTAACTGTCTAGCGCTGAAACTGTTTCAAAAGTCTGAACTTGTTTGCAAACTTCTTGCAAAGCCCGCCGGTGCACCGCTGGAGAGCAGGCCCTCTGGTCCATTTTCCTCTCAGTTCCGGCAGGTTGTGCTCTCCTGCTGGGGAAGCTGTGGCGCGCAGTTGCCAGAGCCCGGGCGCAGAACTACGCCTCGGCAGGCTTCTAGTCGGAGGACGTGTAAATTACTTTTTTTTCCCATCCTGTTTCCGAATGCCTACCAAAGGTTCTAATCTGTACCAGTTTTAAAGCCCCTAAACCAGGGATGCCGGAGATCAGACACCAAAGACGCTCGTTTTGCCGCACAATGTACTTTCTGAACTGAACTTCATAATGATCTAAGGAATTTCTTTTCTTACCAAGTGGCAGACATGTCCTTATTCTTAAAAATCAGCCCTAGGAAATGAAAATTAGCTTCGGAGGCCCTAGAGAGATAATCAAAAAAGATGAAGAAAAAGAGGAGGAGGAAAGAAAAGGAAGGAAGAATGGGGAAGGAGAGAGAGGAGGAGGAAGGAGAAAGGGCAGGGAGGAGGGGGAGTCGAACTCCCCAGAACTCAGAAGCAGAAGAGGGGAATTCTGGTGAGTTCGAGGCCAGCCTGTGCTAAAATGTTTTAACAAACCAACTAAAAAGGTTCTGTCCTTTAAATTGCGCACATTTTTAGAAACTGCAGGAAAGACGTGGCATTATCTACTATACATACAGTACATAAACTCCTTTCACACACACACCCCCCCAAGCTGAGCGTTTCAGAGCAAGACCATGCCTTCCTGCAATATTCTTAGGCCCTTCTCCCGTTTCAAGGGAATCACTAGTTTCCCCCTGGCTCTGAAACGCTCCTGTTAACTAGAGTTCTAGAGCTTTGGGACAGCCATTTAAAAAAATAAAATAAAATAGCTTTTCATAGTTTTCGAGAAAGTCCCTTGCAAATTGTTAGTTTTGTATGTTTTGCGAGGGAAGTCCAGCTTTCTGGTCTGAATGTTGCGAGTTCCCGGGGCAGAGCCAGAAGCGGTCGCACGGGCCAGCGGGTGCTTGGGTCCTCTGTGACGTTCCAGGCACCTGTCCCGGCACAGCCCGGGAGCAGCGGCCCCCAGGCCACAGAGGCGGCGGCATCGGCGGCATGAGCGGATACCAGCTACCAGTGGTGATCGACAACGGCTCGGAAATGATCAAGGCCGGCCTGGCTGGGACCCGGGAGCCCCAGTTCGTTTACCCGAACATTCTAGGCCGGACCAAGGGCCACAACACTGCCGTGGACTGCGCGCTGGAGCTGTGTGTGGGTGACCAAGCGCAGGAGCGCAGGAGCTTCTTGTCCATCAGGTACCGCGGGATGCTGCGGCCTGGGTGGGTGTGGAAGAGGGCGAAGAGTCCAGAGCTAAAGCCACCGTGAAACGACCAGGGAGAGGAACCCGAAGGCCTCAGCCAGCCCCACCCCTTAGAAAAAACCTCTGTACTCTGTACACAGATGTATTCAAATGTATATAGTGATCGTTCTTGCTATGCGTGTCCGCCTAAGAATGTGGCTTAATTTATAGCTTTTGTCATTTGGCGTGGTCACTTGAACTATTTACAACTCTACCAGAATGTAGGAATTTCCCAACTTTTTGAAGTCACATTCTCCAAAGAGGAGAAAACTGGCCAAGCAATGTGACTGAAGAGAAAGGTAGCTGCGCCATTTACCGGTACTTACCTTCCGACCAGAAAACCATACTGATACTTATTTAGGTGAAAAAGCAGAGAGGGTAAGAATTAAAGACTTAGGAGCCCTTAATCCCAGCAGAGGCAGAGGCAGGGGGCTGAATTCCAGACCAGCTTGGTCTGCACATTGAGTTCTAGGCTTAGCCAGGGCTACAGTAAAACTCTGTCTCAAAACAAGAACTATCAAATAATTGTGTGTGTGTGTGTGTGTGTGTGTGTGTGTGTGTGTGTGTGTATTTAAAAGCCAAATCTAAAAATCACCACTAACAACCTAACAACAACCACAGAAGCACAAGACTTACATGTTTCATTGCTCTCCCCCCCAGCTATCCCGTGGACCGGGGCCTCGTTTCTTCCTGGGGGGACATGGAGACCATGTGGAAGCATATTTATGACTACAACCTGAGCATGAAGCCCAGTGATGGCCCAGTCTTAGTCACAGAGCCGGCACTGAACCCACTGGCAAACCGGCAGCGCATCTCTGAAGTGTTTTTTGAAAGCCTGGGAGTTCCTGCCTTCTACCTGTCTGTCCAGGCTGTGTTGGCCCTCTTTGCTGCTGGTTTCACCACTGGCCTGGTGCTGAGTTCAGGGGCTGGGATTACTCAGTGTGTGCCTGTCTTTGAGGGTTACTGTCTAACTCATGGTGTGAAACAGCTAAATGTGGCGGGGCTTGACCTCACCAACTACCTCATGATGTTGCTGAAGGACGATGGTGTCATGCTGCTCAGAACTGGGGACAGGAAGATCATTACAGACATTAAGGAGAATATTTGTTATGTGGCAATGAACTATGAGGAGGAAATGGCCAAGGAACCTGGCCTAGAAAAAGTGTACACACTTCCTGATGGGAAGACACTCAGACTCCATAACCAGGTCTTTCGTTGCCCAGAGGCTCTCTTCTCTCCATGGCTTGTGAATGTTGATGCTCCTGGCGTAGATAAGATGTGCTTCAGCAGCATAATGAGATGTGATACAGATCTCAGGAATTCCTTCTTCTCCAATATTATCCTTGCTGGAGGATCGACCTCTTTTCCTGGTTTGGATAAGCGACTCATTAGGGATGTGGCCAAGGTGGCACCTGCCAATACCGCTGTGCAGGTTATAGCTCCCCCAGAAAGGAAAATATCAGTGTGGATGGGGGGCTCTATTCTTGCATCCTTGTCTGCCTTCCAAGACATGTGGATCACTGCTGCAGAATTTGAAGAAGTTGGACCCAATATAGTACACCAAAGATGCTTCTAAAATGCAGACAAAACAATGAGTAAAACCTGTTTTGAGTATACACAACAAAAGACTGGATATTCTGATTCTGGGAGAACAAAAAACATTTCTGTTATACTTACTTTTTAAAAATGTTTTTGGTTGTTCTGGGAATCAAACCTAGAGTCTCACACACGCTAAGCACTCTACCACCGACCTGTCTCCCCAGCCCTCTTTTAGCTTTGTATTTTGAGATAGGATCTCCTGCTAAATTGCCCAATTTGGACTTCAATTTGTAATCCTTGCACTTCAGTCTCCCAGGTAGCTGGAATTAGCGTTTTGCAACTTTGGGCCTGGCTCTCAATATAACAGGGAAGGAAACAATGCAATTGTTAGGTTTCAAACCCAGAGCAAACAGCTGAGGTGCCTATTTAATGTATCAAAGTGGACTCGGGCTGCCAGGTTCTCTCTGCATCCCTCAATCCCTACTGAAAGATTTACAACAAGCCCCCACGGTCAGGCGTGTCTGAAGAGTCAGGGATGAAAGATTTACGGACGTCATGGATCTTGGTCACGCGAGATGCCCTGACCCGGAAATGGCTATCTGGACCTGGACCTAGCTAGGTGGAAGTGTCCGCCAGGCATATGCAGACACGCCTGACCGTGGGGGCTTGTTGTAAATCTTTCACCTACCTTTTACAGGGCCCTCCTGGCTCGCATACCCCACCCCTCCCCTACATTTCTCATTCTCTTTTTCTCAGCTGCCTTTCCCTATATAATCCAACCATTCTGGTTACCCCTGCTCTCTTTGGGTCTCCTGACTGCTACACCCATTATACTCTCTGCCCTTACCCTCACAGGGCTCGGGGTCATGACCACTCTGGACTCTCCCAGATGTCTCTGCCTCTGGCTATGTCTCCCTTTTATCTACAATAAACTTTCTCCTCCACCATACTGGGAGCAATCATGTCCATCCTTTCTTTTTCTTATTTTTTCATTCAGTAATAATAATGGTGAGTATTGTACGAGATGGAACGCAGTGAAGAAACTGGCAAAATGGCCACTCCATTAGGGGGAAGGTTTTTATGTGAATAAGAGAGAGAAAATATCCAGAGGCTTCTGGAAAAGTCCAAAGCAGAAAGAGAAGCCGACTGGGTATGGCCAGGGCTGTCTGCAAGAGAGGCAAGAGAGAGAGAGCAGGGGTAGACAAATGGCTAACCATGGTGCCTATCAGCATACCAAAGTGCATGCTGGCCTCTAGGCTCACTCAGCACCTGTGGCTCCTCTCAGCTCTTCTTACCTGCCCCCTACCCTAAACTTTGCCAGTCATGGCCTTCCCTCCCCCAGCTTCTCATTCCTGTGCAACGCTGCTGCAGTTTCAGCCATGTGCTCCCTTGTTCTTCCACTCTTGGTCCCCTCACTCTTGACTCTTGCTCTTCTCCCACCCCTCTACTCAGGGCCCGGTCCACTCCGCTGGCCATGTGCAGTGTACCGCTTCTCTCCCTGCTCTGGACTCCTCCAGATGCCTCTGGCTGTTCTGTCCCTCATATCTGCAGCAAGACCTTCTCATATCTTTGAGAGGTTATGTCCTCACTTTACACCATAAGGAAGATGAGCAGCTGGGGGGAGGGACTCCTGGAGACAGAAAACCATTTTCACAGGTTCCTGTAGAATGCTGGCTTTTGTCTAACTACCAAAAATCCTCCTATAGTCCAACTTGTTAGCATTCAGACCCACCCCTCGGGAACCTGGCCAACATGCAGACAATACCTGGGCCCGCTCACAGTCCTGACATCATACACTCATTGCTACATGGTCGCTCTGCACATTGTGTGACATCCCCTCATAAAAGGGTGGAGCCCTGCCCACTTTCTCTCTATTCCCATGAGGTGGCATCTGCACCTCCTCTCTGCCCCCTCTCCTGTCTCTTTCCTTCCTCTTTTCTCCTCAGCTCCTGTCTCTCCCTTCCCCTCAATAAAACTCTCCACGTGAGTATGGTCTGCATGGTGCATCTCTCGCTGTGGCTGCCACCTGTCATGCCTGCAGCACACCATTTTTAAAATACAACACAATTTGAGCTCATTTCTAGATATATGTGTTATGCCCAGATCTTTTGATATCTTTCAAACTTATACTTTACACCTCTTTAGTGAGTTTCTTTTCTGAATTTATTAACAAGGAAAACTATAACTACCTGATCTTCAACTCCCTCAGAGACCCAAGAAGGAAATAATATCACCTAAGTAAGCAGGAAATGCAAACAAGCAACTTCCAAAAACTGTGAGAAATGACAGAAACAGCTGGCTGCCTGGACAGTCACCCAAGGTTTCTCTGCAACACTGGGGCATCCATCTTTGGCTTACAGACCTAGCATATCTGACAGACTCATCTATGAAGCAGGATTTTCTAAAGGAACTTCCTACCTTACCTTGGCAAGGTTCGGCAGTCACTTTCCTTTGTGTCCTGTTTGTCCATTTTAGACAACATACTGTCAGCAGTCAAGGCAAGGGCAGTTTCTTGCCCAGTGGTTAACTTTTGCCACAATGAAAGGAAACTCCATATGGAGTTTCTTCAATGCCCATCATCATCTCTGAAGTATATTGGTGCTGCCAGGAGCAGATATATCTCATTGTCATGAAAAAAAGAATCTGTTATTAAAACATTTTAAATGCCATATTCTGTAGATCTCTGAAGTGTTTGAAGATGACCTGTTTATCTAAAATATATTTCTGTTTGACCTTGAAAACATACCTAATATGACTACAAGTTCAATTGTAATAGGTGACTAAATATTAACTTGTATTTCTTTATATCCAATTTAGTTGATAATAACAACTTTTAAGGACTAGCAATTTGCATTATGTTGTTAAATGAGCTGTATAGGTACAATACCTTGAACAAGATTAGAAATATATATACAATATTTTCTAACAAAATTAATCTCAAATTTGTACCAATATATAAAATTTGTACATAATATACAAAATCCAATCCAATGTAAAATATTTAAAACCAGTAGTTACTTTCTAAAAGTAGATTCAATAATCTACCTTTTTATCTTATCATATCCATATCCTCTTTTCTTTTCAGAGTAGATTCAATAATCTTACCTTTATTCATCATGTTTATATCTTTTTTGAGAGTAGATTCAATAATCTACCTTTTGTCTTATCATATCTATACCCTCTTTTTTGTTTTCTTTTTTTTTAAACAAGAACCCTGAATCTAATTTCCCTTGTTTAGCTTTTTTTCCTGACCATTAACAATTAACAACTTGTCAACAACCATCCTAAACAATAACAATTATACATAGCCTATTGAAAGACCAAAAATACCCACTCCACCTGTTGGGAATGTGGATATCGTGTTCTTAAAATTACTTCCTCCCGTCTAGGGGCAAAGGCATCTTTAGGGGATCCTGAAAAGAAAAATTTTGGGTTAATTGTCAAGTTCTGGGAGAGGTAACTGTATCATTTGTTGTCTAGTCTCTGCATAATTTGAAAGTACAGGGCTTGTCTCAAGTCCTTGCTTGAGTAATCTGTGAGGCTGGATCATCTAAGCTAGCTATCTCAAAATTGTCCTGAGCAGTTTGTAGTCCAAAGCCGATCTTTGGGTGGTGTTGGTCAGCTTAGTGGTATCATCATCCTGATGGAATCATCATTGTGAGATCCCATCATCTTTTTGGAGACTTTAAAAATCACATTGGGTCAGACTATTCCTTTCCTTGGTAATTTTTTCCGGGTAGTTCTCTCTTCTTTGCTTATTTGTTCAAAGGTCTTTAAATTCTTCAAGATGGTTGTTTTTATTTTCCTGAAAGACAAAAACAAAACCCTTCCCCAAGCCTAACTTTGGGGAGTTTCCAAATCTAATCTTTATAAATTTTGGTTTATGGTTTCTCCTGAACTTTTTGTTCTTTTATAGCTGTTCTATCATCCAGAGCAGTATTTTTTTTTTTTTTACAATAGACATTAGGTTCTTTAATTGCTATGAGAAGGAGTTTCTTCCATGATGACAGGAAAGGACTGAACAGAATTTGTCATGGGGGCCTGTGAGAGGCCCCTTGGGGAAGTTTCCCGATGGCAAAGGCAAAGGATTACCTTGTTCCTTGTTGATCTACATTCCTTAGTCCAATGTTTGCCTTAGCCACACCTAATCCAGAAGGGAGGGGCATTTCTGTTGCCATTGTACCTTGAAAAAACATTGTAGGAATGCCCTGTTTCCAGTCCCTTTTTTAGGTGATCTTGTTTACCACAATTGAAACATCTGACATTATTTTCCTTCAAACCTCTGGAAATCACCTCTCCTATCCATGCATCATCATGGTCAATATTCACTGTATCTCAGATCCATTCCTCCAAGGGTGCTGATCTTGCCTTTAATGGCCTAATTACCCTTTCATATTGTATATTAGCATTTTCAAAAGCCATAGATTCAATTATTATCTATCTAGCTTCTGAATTTGGTATCATTCTATTTACTGCTGAAGACAGCCTTTCTAAGAAATCAGTGAAGGTTTCTTGTGGGTCCTGTATAACTTCTGTAAATGACTCAACTTTCTTTCCTACTTCAATTCTGTCCCAAGCATTCAAGGCCACCATTCGCATAAAGCCAGGGTGTGGTCATCATGTAGAGATTGCCTTTCTACATTAGCATAATCTCCCTCTCCAAGAAGTTGATCTTGGGAGATTTCCATACCTCTAGCCCTACTTCATTGTTCAATGGTCTTAGCCTTATCCTCCTACCAGGTCCTCCATTGTAATTGGGGACCAGCTTCTATGACAGTTGTAACCAAATCTCTCCAATCTTGAGGGATAATTCTATTAAAAGTTGACCACAAGTTTAACATCTGCTTCACAAATGGGGAATGCATACCATATGACACTATAGCTTCTTTGACTCTCCTCAAATCTAACATTTGCACAGAAGTCCAGTCAGCTCTTACACAGCCTTGAGCATTTGACAGTTCCTGTAATGTTACCAGATGGATTAAGGTTGGCTGTTTGAAAGCCTTAGGCTGTTTCTCTGTAAATGTATATAATGTAATATTGAGATTGGTTCACCTTTAAATTGCTCTGTCTGGGTCTGAATTTCTCTGTGATCTGTTTAACAAGTTTTTCTAAAATTTTTATCTTGGCACTCATATTAATCAACTTTTTAAATGATCAAACAAATAATATTTATAATTTATATTACATCTATCCCATCAACATTAATTATCCTCTCATTTAATTGTCCCATTTTCAGACCATCAATTGTATTATCAAACAGAGACTAAATTCCTTCCATTGTAAAACTGTTTCCCATTTTTTAATGTGGAAAAAATATTTTTTAACTAATTTCTTCCTTTAAGAAATCCCAATTGTCTCACCAAATTTGCCAACAATGATGATTCAGATGTGAGGCTGACTGCTTCTGTGTAGAACAGTAGATGGGTGGTTATATATCAGATATCATGTATCTAATTTAAGGAGGGTGACAGGTAGTGTGTGGTACTTCATTGCTCTATTCAATTAAGCTCTCTATTCTTTTCTTAATTTACTACTAAATCCTTCTTAGTCCTTCAAGTTTCATAAAGGGTAACGTGGGTGTTCTTGTTAAGAAAAAGTAGCCCACTGCTTC